ATAGTGTTACATTATAAATAGAGTAGCTTTAAAAAGGTTCCACAATAACAAATGAGAAAAAAAATCATTTGTTAGCGGTGAGGGGTGGAATCACTGAACAGCACAATCAAAAAAGGAGCTTTCTTCAAGCTTAATCATGTTGAACAATAAATATTTTTCATTTTAATTTGGAAAAAATTTTCCTTTTTCGAAGCAGTTCAAGGATTCCACAGAATAATACAATCTGTTGCATATTATTTTGAAATACTTTTCAAACGCCAACATCCTGTGTGTTGCGTTCAGTGATGTGACGAGGGGCAGAATATAAAAAAGAACTTTGATAGGAGCATTCAGACCCCCTTTGCACCATCACACAGGGGCACTCATTCAACCACACGCTTTCAGGGCTGTGTCTAATGTTCCAAGAGAAGCATGTTCAGAAATCCACATAGAAAAATAAAAATACAATAAAAGCACAGGGTTAAAATTTTGTGATACAGAGAGCTTACTGTGCTGTTAACTATACATTTACCCGTTTCTTCAAAGTACAACTGTTGAAAGTGAGAAGGAAAGCGCTGTGTGGTGGAAGGGCAAGGAGGAGTCATTACTCACATTTGAAACAGTTCCCAAAGGGCAGGACAAGGCAGACAGTGCATGGAAGGTTCTCTTTTTCATTTAACTTAATTTTAAGCTGCATAAATACAGGTCATTTGCACACAACAATTGCACTTCACAAAAAACAGAAATATACAAACACACACATAGAAATGCAAATCAAATTAATTACAGCAAAAAATAAACTTTCTACTGAAGCAGATAATCAAACAAAAGGAAAAAAAAAATCTTGAGGACTCACTTGTTATGGGTTACTTTAGAAAAGAGTATAGGGTGAGGACAGATGGAGACAAGAAGCTGAGGATCCTGAATCCAGAGTGGACTGGTGCAGCACTGAACAGGTCTGTGTGCATGCATCTGCGCCTCCCTCTGCTCTTTCCTTTTCCCTTCTTGAAAACCCAAAGCTCAGAAGTACAGGGGCCTCTGAGCGAGCTGCTGTGGTCTGGAGAGGTGGTGCTGTGTAAACGCTGTGTTAGTGCCGGAGCTTGGGTTACCACATGTCGTCTGTGGAGGCTGAGTCCTTAATGAAAAAGGGAAAGCAAGTCTTCAGAGGATTCTCACCACTTCTATTCACAATCACTGACAGCTTTTGCACAGAGAGCAACAAACACAACAGGATGTACACAAGCCTGAATGGGTCATACGACACATATGATGGGTTGATGGAATGCTGCTACAAAACAATTTCATTCTAAGATGAAAGATGAGCAACACTGAAGTACTGTAACATACAGTATTGTGTTTCTGAGACAGTCTGTGTGTGGAGCGGCGAAAGCAGAACACTACAGGGACCAGGTTCACAAATGCAGGTTTGAAAATATGTGGATACACTGTGGCACCAAAAGCCACAGCTTGTTAAGACAGAGTTTGTGCTTAGTTTAGCTCATATCAAATAAATCAACACCAGATGTGGGATAAGGCAAACAGCCGTGTTATATTCAAGGTAACAATTCTTGAAACAATGTACAAGTGGTAGTTACTTTGTAGGCAGAAAAAGTCATTTTTGGCTCAGATCAGCTGATGGGTTGTAATCAGGGACAGAAATAAGTTAATGTCAATTTTCAAGTTCAATGTTTTGTTGAGTCAGCACTGTATTTTGATACCTTCTTTATCTTTGTAAACATCCTTATAAATGTGAATAACAGTAAATGTCCTGTTAGTACGAAGAAGGCGTTCTCAGCTAACTGTCCGTGTGGAGCAGCTCCCTCTCTCAATGTGGATCTCCCCGTGTTTCTCACCTTTTCTCCCACTGGGTTTATTTTGAGTTTTTCCTTACCAATGCAGGAGGGTCTGTTGGACAGTGTTTAACAAGAAGGACTGTGGTGATGATCCAGGAAACTCTCCCTCTAGACCAATACATGTGTGTTATATATTTTTGGTGTCTTAACTTTTTATTCTATGATCTGTGTTGACAATTTTAACGATTTTGTTAAGTTCTGAGACGACTACCGTTGTGATTTGTGATTTAGGGCTATACAAGAATAAATTGAATTGAATTATGGCACATGTGGACTAATCCCTAGAACAGATTGAAATTAGCTTGTGCTAAATCTAGTGCTGCCATCTTTTCCTGCACATGTTCAATAATTAAAAAACACATTTCCAGTTGAAATTAGGATATCCAATTCCATGAACAATAAAACAGAAAAAGAATTTAGTAACCATCTAAATGGAAATAACACTATCGCGTACATGCAACTTATTTTTAACACAAAAAAGGAAAGCGCTAATTAAAATAGCAATTCAAAAACCTTACATGAAGTAAATCTCAATGTAAAATACAGAGATGAAAAGCGTGCGGGGATCTAGGGCAGTAGAATTTAACCAAAGTAAAATACATTATGGCCTTCAAGGTTAAGTCACGACAAGACAGTGAAAATTCCTTGTGCTGACCTAATGCCACTGAGCCATGAATACAGCCATTGTGCCCCTGAGCTGACACTTCCTTTCACATTTAGACTAAGAATGTGAGCTACCACAATATTCACATGCTTGTTTTTGTTTGAGAAAACCTTCGTGGTAATTGTGTTTTGGAGCTGGGGTTGATGCTGAAATGATTAAGATTTTTGATCGTGGCAAGTCAGTGTTCCTGTTGAATAGAACTTAAGAGAAACGTCCACTCTTCTCGCCGAACACACAGAAATCCACAGTCGAGGGAGAGTTTACATCCAACAGAAAATGTCTTAGTATTGCATTAATATACAAATATATTTAACAATTAAAAAGGAAAAGAGGTGACGTTTTGAACTTCAGTGTTGACCTATCTTGGTCAACAAGTAATCCAATTAATTACTCGGGGTTCCATTTTTGTAATTTTTGGGTATAAAATGGCTCATTAGTCGTTGGTTACAGTTGACTAATCTTAAGAAGTAGCTGGTGGCCAGAATACTCATGTAATTTCATTAGTCTAGCAATGTGCATTTTACACAAGAATACACAACGTTTCTTTGACATGTGCAATAAAGGGAGCAAAAACAGATTGTGTGAGCTCAGTCAATTGGATACAGGGCTTCCCCAGTATCTTCTGAGCATCATCAGTGCCTTGGTTTTTCTGCTTTGGGGGTTTGATGCAAGTGTAGCAATATGCAGGGCTGTGTAAAATATAAAACACACATAAGCCCTCATGCAAATCTGGTCTCACCCAGTCTCCCCTGGACGTGAGCTACAATAAAACCAACAAACTTGCGTACAAGGCTACTTGGGAGGCTGACAGCACCGTGCAGTGTCTGGAATATTTTTGTTGATTGACAGCACCCGACCTTAACTCAATCTCAGGACACTGAATCTTTTATTGTAGAGGTTACATTGGTAAACAATTAAACAATTGTTATGGGAAAAATAAATCGATGAGGCAAGAAATTCTCCAAGGGCAACATTTAACCCCTGACCCGCAGTTTGGTCATCTGGTTTAGACATGTGGTCTAAAACACGTCGAAACCAGAAAGCCAAATTAAATCCATCACAAAACATTTACGTGGACTAATGCAAATGGATTAAAGTGTACACGTTGACTTTCCCAAATAGGGAGTATAACTCATTGGGACCACGTACAGCACATATGTGACCACCATGTGCACATTGTTGCATGTTTGCACCGTGGACGTCCTAAACATTAGTGGAAGTGACACGTTTTAGCCAGCTCTGGTCCTCCTGGTCTTGGTTCTAATTCTGCAGTGCATGTCATTCACTATCCCCCTTTGACAAAATTCACAACACCATGAACGTTGATGCATCTTTACTCCCAAATCCATTTTTGACCCAGCCAACATGAACATCTGATACGGGTATGGGTGTCCCAGCTTTGTCTTTATTTTTTTATTTCAATACCTGATGCCAAATCCTTTGTGTACTTTGACCCCGTCTTACCAGGGTTAAAGTTTCTGTTGGCTGATGGTTGCTGCATGGTGGAAGCCCCCGCCCTCACTTTCTGTCTCACCAACAGTGGATTATGACATGTGTTGACATTTATATCATTTGGAACGATCCATAGCGATTGTGCACGGGACTCAGGAGTGTACTATTAACTTGCAGAGAACAGTGATATAAACACACTGAAGTCAACATTTCTCGAGTTGTACATGTGAGCGTGTATGTAAATGTCATCAAGTTTGTGTTTTGGAAAAAAGGTTTTTTTTCTACTTTAACACAATTTCTAATGTTTAAAACATTCAAAAATATTCTGTTATGATTGATTTAATCATGTGCAAAAATTTACTTTGACAAAAAAAACCAACAGTGGGTCCTCAGGACACCTTACACTTGTGAACATCACGTTGGTCAAGTGTAAATGAGTACTAAAATAAATAAAGTAGAAATAATAATAACAGAAATCCATTTAAGATAAACAGCACATGGTTCAGTGATTATGAAATGCATGCGTATTTGTCAAAACATAAAACATGCATCACAGAGTAGGGGTCGACCAATTATTGCCAGCAATATTTGCCAATAATGTAAAATATATTTTTTACTAGTCAAGATAGTTTAGGGCAGCCTACTGATAATTTTGTTTTCTTATATAACGCTACAACCGTAACACTTGTATGATTAGTCGTTACTTTGATCAAAATGAAATCAAAGAATTTTGATGAGATCACATACATCATAATAAATTCCTTCGTTACATCATATCCACTTTATATACAGTGGGATACTTATGTTTTGTATCTATCGTTTTTAAAAAATAAATAAAACGTATGCTTCAGGCATTTCATGTCCAACACTTTTTTTTGTCGAACAAAATTCAAACGTGTTCACTTTTATGGCAAATCGGATTTCTACATGGGCCATAACAGGAGGTTCTTATCTGTTATGGGCCACCTTGACTGATTATCAATACCGGCCCTGAAAATTGCATATCGGCCGACCTCTCTCAAAGAGCTACTTTGTGAAGACTCTGTACTTACTGTGTCATCATTTCGATACGGGTTCAGTTTGTTGTATACTGCTTCGACTACACCTCGCCTGAACAAAAGAAGTACAAACTGTTAATCTGTTTTATGAATTTACGATTTATGATTTTCTTTAAAAGGATACATCTTTATTAGGGCTGGGAAAATGATAGACTTAATTAATTTTAACACTGATAAAGAATCCAACAGGTGTTTCTGCACTGCCTCTGCATCAGCAGATTTGGGGTGTACAGTGTCCCGTATGAGAGCGTGGGGTGTCTGACTGTGCCTACTACAGAAAACTGCTGTCTTTTCGCTGTCCCCCTCCACTTTCAAGTGAATTGAGAACTTACTTTTCTGTCTGAAAAAGTGGACCTAAAAGATATGTGACACAATTTTAGGTGAAAGGACGCAATTTTACTTTAGGCGCATTAAAAGTAATTTTATCCATCCATCCATCCATTTTCTTATTTTAAGTATCAATAATATGCATTTATTAATCTGAAAGCTCAAAAACTTTTAAACATTACACCAGTTTTTAAAATATTAATTAATATTATGATCTAACTAAAAACGTTTTGCATAAACAATACAAACAAATGCAATTAAATTAATTGGAATCTGGATTGTTAAGATATAAGATAATAGACTATATAACAAGTTTGTGGTGATTGAAATCCTTTAACACAATACTTAAAGCTATATTAGGAGGATTTTCCCAAAATTTTGAAAAGAACCGCTATCTACATTTTTCAAACAAAACTCTGGTCCTATTTGACGAGCACGTATCACCAGGATGATGATCCATCCAGAAGAAAATCCTTAAGAAATGTGAGCAACATTGAGGATTCAGTGATCAAACTTACTTGCTCGCCAATTCCCCTCCAGGTGGAAGGTTAGGGATACTTTCAGATGCTAATGTCCGCATCACATGGACCAAATCCGGGACTCCCTCATCTCCCTGTTTTTTCATTATTTCTGATGAAAAAAGACAAAAAGGTGGCATTCTTTCAAATAACTACTATGTTGAAACTTGTTTTTTGTCTCTTAAAAGTATGCACCTTCTACTCTGGTTTCCAGGTATTTATCCAGCTCCAGTTCACGATTCACTGCTTCAGGTGAAACCTTTGGCGCCCCAGAAAAACAGACTAGTACAACACTCATATTGTCTCGACTCCCCTGTCAATAAAAAACAGTTTAGTAATGAAGTCAAAGAGAAAATTGAAATTATTACACTCACAAGTACATACCTTGTACAAACAGGTGTCAAGAATTTCATTGCTGACTCGTTCAAGGTCATCAGACACTTCTAACCTTGACCTGACGAAGTCACAGAGTTGTTCATTGGCCATAACGTCCCAGATGCCGTCACATGCTAGAATTATAAATTCATCTTCTGCTTCACATCGTTCTATGGCATAAACTTCAGGCTCCGGAGACACCAGCTGCTCTGTGGGTCCTTTTCCATGCACGCATTTGTAGTCAAAGTCCCCAAGCGCTCGGGACACAGCCAGGGAGCCATTGACACGTTGAATCATAACAGAACCACCAGCATTCTGGATCCTCTCCTTCTCCAAAGGATTATTGGGTTTGTGATCCTGTGTGAAGAAGTGCACAGCCCCAGCCCTGCTCAGTAGAGCACGAGAGTCACCACAGTTGATAAAGTACACATGAGTGGGAGAGATTAGCACTCCCACTGCTGTGGAACCACTACGGTCCACTCCATGCTTCTTTTCTGAGATGGTTCTCATATGTTCATCAATCTGAAGGAATCCTGTGCGGATCCCATTCTTCACACTGTCTACACAGGTTTCCTCCTGCAGGGCACTCTGGAAGTCTGGATTGGTTGTGATGTGCTCAAGCAGGTGCTCACAGCAGTATTTAGCCACCTGAGAGCCTGCGTGACCATCATAGACAGCAAAGAAGGACCAAAGGTCCAGCCCATGAGGCAAACTAACTGCAGCTGTGTGCGCGTCTTCCATCTCCACACGCCAGCCCTGCATACTGCTCAGACCGAACTTCAGGCTATTCCCCTCACCATGAGAGGTGTATTTCTCCATCTTTGGTTTATCCAAAAATGCCCCCATGGTGTCACACCTGTAATTTTTAAAGCAAGAAAAAGACAAGTTATAACATTACATTATAACACAACCAAAATCAAATATTTGTCAGAAGTATTGACATCCAGAGCAATTTGATGCAGACATTGTTTTTGTTTTGTTTTGTTTTACCTTTGATTACAGTCTAGGATTTCATTCAATATTAACGCCATATTTATGAAATATGTAGCAAGTGTTAAGGAATAAAAAGTGGCCGAAGCAACAGTACAAACACAAAGTTAGAATGTATACAACAGTCTAGAATCTAAGAACTAACATATAGCATGGAGATGTTATATAACAAATGCTTCACTGTTTAACTCATTAATGAGGAGGAAAGCACAATGACCAAATCATGACAATTAAAAATAAAGACTCAGCCTTTCGTGTGTGTCCCATAAATTTCGACAGTCCTTTTATGTTGGTTAACATGGCAATCTGTGAGAGCAACCTTTGGCCTTTCTGTGTACCACCTCTGCTAGCCTAGCATGCAACCCCACCAAACATCAAATACTGCTTAAAACAAGCGAAGCGACTTACCAAAAATCCAATAACAAATGGACGGGAGCAAAGCAGCAAAAAACAAATGTGAACTATGTTCTTCTGGTTACACGCGAACGGGCAACCCGATCAAATAACTTAAAAGAAATTACGACGGCACAGCTAGGCTAGCTAGCCAGTTAGCAGGTAATAATCGTCACTCAACACAAAATGGATCTAATTATAGTTACGAATGTCTCTGTTAACGTGCGTCCTTGTAGAATTACATTATCCCAGTTGACGAGTTAAACTATGTCTAATAATGAATTCTGGGGAAATAAATGGCCGCGTTTGAGTGGCCGAGCTTGGGGAAGCTGAAACGTTTGTCCCAGCCTCTCCACTTGACAGCTTGACAGCTTGCTAGCTAACTTTAGCCACAGCCTCGGCCATGGCCCGGATGTTGCAGGCTTTGGGAACGCATGACGTCACCCCAGCAGCGCCAGCGCGAGCCCAAAAGCAAAGGCACCCTTTCTTTTTTTAACAGTGGTTGAAGTACTCTCATTGTATATTCGAAACAGTTCAGTCATCAACGGGATCACTATAGCCAGTAAAGAAATAAGAATTACTCAATTAGCTGATGACACTGCTCTTTTTTTAAGAGACAAACACCAAGTCGCCCCTGCAATTTCTTTAATCGACAACTTTTCTGCTGCATCTGGTCTTGAACTAAACAAGCATAAATGTGAGATATTACCTCTGTATAGTTCACAGGATCACCATATTTGCAACATCTCTGTGAAAAACAATACAAAATATCTTGGAATCCACATATGCAAAAATAACCACGAACGCCAACAACAAAATTTTGCACACCGGATCAAGAAAACTACCACCATTTTTAACATGTGGCTACAAAGAGACATTTCCATCTTTGGCCGAGCCTTGCTGTCCAAAACGGAAGGCATCGCAAGACTTGTCTACCCTGCCCTCTCTCTCTACGTAAACAACAGTACTGCAAAGGACATCAATAAATCAATTACCAACTTTATTTGGAAAAACAAGAAACATTATCTTAAAACCAATATTCTCACAGGTTCAAAAGGAGAAGGGGGGATCGAAATGCTGGATTTCATCGATATGAATTACACATTTAAAATCAAATGGATTCAAGAGGCATTAAAAAACCTGAACTCAATATGGTACCTCATCCCCAACCTAGTATTTAATAAAATAGGCGGTCTTCATTTTATCTTAAAATGCAATTACAATATCAACAAACTTCCAATAAAACTCTCTAATTTTCATCAACAAGCCCTTACAGCGTGGAAGCTCTGTCACATCCACAACTTCTCCCCACACACCTGCATTATCTGGAATAATGAATATATATTAAAGCGCAAGAAATCAATCTTTGAATCATCATGGATCGACAAAGGTATAATTACAGTTTCCAATTTAATCGATATTCATGGCAATATTTTAAGTTATGATAACTTTCTTTCTAAGTTCCAGTTTCCCATCAGGTACAAACAGTACAAAGCTGTTACAAAATGCATTCCCGATGGACTATTACACTTAATGAGAGCTTCACAACTCACTCCAACCATAATGACCACAAAGCTTTTTCTCAATGGACTGGACATCACTAATCACAAATGCAACAATAAACATATTCGACAAATATTTCAAAATATGAAAAGCATTCAACCCAGAGGGAAATTTTTTTGGAACTCCACCTTTGATAATATAAACTGGCATAAAAAACATGGCTGTTACCCTACCAATTCCCCATTAATAATAAAATACGTGAAACTCATCTCAAAATTCTACACAATATCTACCCCACAAACTCCGAAGTCTCAAAATTCATGAACATAGATCCAAATTGCTCCTTTTGCAATACAGTTCCAGAATTTATTCAACACTTATTCTACTCATGCCCACTCATCACGCTTTTCTGGAAAGAGATCAGTCAATACCTCTCCCAAAGACTAAATATCTCCATAACTATCTGTGACAGAAACATTATCACCCACTTTTCTCACCAAAACAATAAAATCGAAAGAATCACCAACATATTCATTTTATTTGGCAAACAGCACATACATAGATGCAAATACAGTAAAACCAATCCATCCTCCCAAGCAGTCACTCTCGAAATCAAGAGCTACATTAAGTCTATAACCCTAATAAACAGCAAAAAAACCAACTCCACAGTCAAATTATTAGAACCCATAACACATCAACTCTAGATGATCGTCTCCCTTTAGCGCCCTTTCTTTCAATCTAACCTCTCTATAAAGTCATTTAATTTTATATAATACCTCACTTCCTTTCTCTTTATCATGAATGTCATCATTTTCTGTATATATTGTAAATATCTTTGTTTCTGTTTTTGTCATGTAATGTATATACAAAAAAAAAAAAAAAAAAAAAAAAAAAAAAACAAAAAAAAAAAAAAACAAAAGCAAAGGCATGATCCGTGTCATTCACATTCATGTATCCATAGTCAAGATGATGCTGCAATGTATCCTGCCTTTGGCTCATGGCCATGTTCAAGACTAAAGTGAAACACAAAATAATGTGGTACGTTACTAAACTAAGGCTCGCGGGCCAAATGCGGCCCGTAGTGTCATTTTACGTGGCTTTCCGCGTTACTAACACAAACTACCGTTTGAGGTAGTTTCACGGTGTCATCTAGCCAACTTAAGTTCCACCAATGTAGTGATGTACCTCATTGTAAAGAGGATTCCCTTTGGAATCCAGTCGATTAATTTATTTGTATTTTGATTGTGTCACAAAATTATGTATATGGCAGTAATGTTGCTGTTGTGTGAATCAATATTCTTACTAAAACATTTTGACACCCCTGTTTCAAACCATCTAATACATGAGCTTTTAGTGTTGGAAGTGTACTTACTTTACGTTTTTCTATATCATACATGTATCTATATGTAGTTAATTCCATGTCATTATTTTCGTACATATTTTCGTATTTCCAAACTGGTCTGACTCTGGTTCTGAGATGAGTCTGCTTGGTTTTCCACCAGAGAGAGCAACACTGTGCTTGTACTTGTACACTGTGTGCAACAGTTAGCATTGGCCTTTCAACAAACTGTTTTTGCTGTACTTTACGTTATATTAACTGGTTTTAGAGTAGAAGTGAATGAAGGTAAATACAATAATTATCAAAAGAATGCAACAACAAAGAACCCTACAAATTATTTCTAAAAATTAAATCTGGGGGAAAACTTAACATTTTTGAGGAAATTTCTCCGAATCGTATTAGTTTGAATGAGAGTAGTCAAAATTATGGTTCTGGGAGTTCTGGTAGTTTCAGAATACTGGCAGTCCTGGTGTTAACTTTTAACTTTTTATGAACAGTGACAGAAATACCAGGTGCAAAGAAGAACAAAGGTTAGGAAAGCAAAATCGTCAATAACCCAAAACTAGGCTATAAGTTAAGTAAAAAGACTGTTACTAAGTCATAAAAAGTGTTGAATGTGTAACACACCCAGCCTCACGCACAACAAATACAAAGACATAAAAAAAGGACGTAACTCAAGAATGTTTCCCAGATTATAGGTTTCTTTTCAATTGGTATTTTTTATTTTCTTTCACATTCAGTTGGTCTAACTGATTCGAATTTGATGTAAATCACACTTCAGAAGTCCTCAGATACCTATCAACCATGTCTTAAATATATACAGTCTATGGTATAAACCTCAGTGAAGTTTTCAATCTTGTTTAACATTATTATTATTTAAACTTTTACATAATAAAATACATAAATAAACAAACGATCAAATAAATAACAACTGATTTAAAATAACGCAAAAAATAAAAAATAAAAATAAAAAAATACACGAAACCAAGGAAATGACGCATGCGCAGTTTGTCCTCTGCCTCCTAAGCCGCTTCCTGGCTTTATAGAGCCATGCTTCCTGGTCGCTGAATGTAAACAGCTGAAGGAGCAGTTCTGTGACCATGTCGGTGCTGGAGTCGAGTCTGGCGTTCGTGGTGTGGTATCTCTTCCCACTGTACGTGGTCGTCTCTCTGGTGTTTGCAATTTTTGCAGATGCTGACATGACTTTGTTATGGGCCAATCTGGTGGGACACAGGCCAGGTAACGACCCCTCTGTTAAACTTACTACTGTTTAGAACTCATAGCATTTCTCTTACCACACACGGGACTCTTAAAAATGTGTCTTATTGGGGTAATTGGGGCACTTATAACGCAAGTATATTATCAAGCGATGACGAATAACTTTCCCCAATGTTAGTTGTAAGTAATATACAAATATTTAATGAGTTACTCCGGAAAAGTATTGTTCTTAGTGTAATACAAGGCATCAGAGTAGAGCACACACGCAGAATGTGTTTGTGTGTTATGTAGTAGGATATTTACCTTTTTAATGGTTGAATTCAGAATACAGTTTGCCCATGTTACTTAAAACAAATCTGACTAATACATTCTACTTTATTTTGTCTTTTTTCTCATGATCATGTATGAGAAAACACACGAGAGTGGCAAAGTACTTTGTTTCAATTACTTTTTCAAGTAATCAGATTCCAATACTCAGAGTATCCTGTTCAGGTTTAATTAGGAAATAATGTCAGCATTTTGATTAGTACATGTGTCTGGGGATACATGATTAGAATTAGAAATCAAATTCTTACATTTAGTTATCTAAAAAAGGAGTGTATTTATTTGTCTGAATGATCTCACTGGGGGAGCGACAGTGGCTCAGTAGAGCTCAATAGAGCATTGGCCTTTGAGCCTAAAGGTAGCGGGTTCGAGCCCACCACAAGACCTTCTCGGCTGACTCCCACTGATGTCAGCTGTTGTTGTGTCCTTGGGCAAGACACTTAACTTAACTTTGCCTGAAGCTCCCGCTGAAAGATCAAGGCAGCTCAGACAAAGAAGAGCCATACTCCTGTGGACTCTCCACCTGCAGGAGGATCAGTGAGGGCTTGTGCTCTGAGTACTGGGTGCAGCTCAGACTTCTACTCCCTCAACCCAGAAAGGGATTAAGGGGAAGAAAATGGATGGATGGATCTCACTGGGTAAAAAAAATAACACAATAACACATAACGCCAAGTGTCACATAGTCATAAACAAGGAGTTCTATAAACAAACAAACACAAATCCCTGTGTAACAGCAGGGCTTGAAAATTTCCCTATGTTATAAATGTATGTTGTTTGTATCATGTTAGTTCAGAGACTAACCCCTGTCTCTTGTTGAAGAGAGGCGACTAAAGCACCGGGTGGTGTGGGTGACAGGAGCCTCCAGTGGTATTGGGGAGGAGTTGGCGTATCAGCTGGCTCAGTGTGGGGCTCGTCTTATCCTGTCGTCACGCCGGGAAAGTGAGCTCCAAAGGGTCAAACGCCGGTGTTTAGGTAAACGACAATAATTGAACTCTTTATGGAATATATTAACAGTGACTTATGTATTTATGATTCTTTCAGAGTGCTCACATCTGCAAGAAGATGATATACGTGTTCTACCACTTGATTTGTTGGAGAGGCACTCTCACGAGGCCATAACTCAAGCTGCTATTCAGTACTTTGGACATGTACGTTTGTGGTAGTGGAGTAGACGGTACCTAAAAATCTCAAAAACATAGCTTATGACTTATTAGTTGCATTTAATGGAAATTAGCTATCTTCCTATAATCTGGGGGTGAACGTCTGTCATTCATGAGCCTAATTGTCTGTACACTGTCCCTTCAAACAGATTGATGTCTTGATAAATAATGGTGGCCGTAGTCAGCGGTCGCTGTTCTTGGAGACTAATCTTGAGGTGTATTCTGCTTTGATGGAGCTGAACTTCCTCGGCACAGTGTCCCTCACAAAGCAGGTGCTTCCTCATATGACAGAGCGCGGCTCTGGGACCATTGCCACTGTGAGCAGTGTGGTGGGGATAGCTGGAGCCCCTCTGGCCACAGGATACTCTGCAAGTAAACACGCCCTCCAGGTACAGACCGATCACATATCAACACTGATTTATTTTTAAGGTATCCTAACAATCTTGTGTTCACAGGGTTTCTTCAACTCGCTAAGGACTGAACTGACTGACTATCCAAACATCCTTGTGAGCACAGTGTGTCCTGGCCCAGTGCAGTCAAAAATAGTTGATAATGCATTCACAGAAGCTCTGCATAAGGTGTATTTAAGTATTTAATATGTAGTGTTTATGTTGAGTTACTGTGTTATTTGATACTTAAACCCTGATTTACACTTTCATGTTTCAGCCTGTACCAACGGTTGGGAGTCAAGAGCACAAGATGTGCACCAGGCGCTGTGTGCGTCTGATGCTCGTGGGAATTGTTAATGGAATACAGGAAATGTGGATCGCACAGCAACCGTTCCTTTTCTTTTACTATGCATGGCAGTACACTCCCACTTTTGCCTGGTTCATCACTAATAAGCTTGGCAAAAAAAGGGTGCAGAATTTTAAAGCTGGTTTGGTAAGTTTTCCGTCATTTGTATTACAATTTCCGCCCCATACTGACTGAGCTGAAGTTGGCAGAGGGCCACATAAATGACACAGAGGGCCGCAATTGGCTCGTAGGCCTTAGTTTGGACATGCCTGCCTTAACTGTAATCTTGTAATTTAAGAAGAACCTGTTGTATAGTCAGAAATGCAGAGGTCAATTTCCTCGTTTAAACCTAGATGATGCTCCCAGAGTATCTATCCAACATATGTCTAGCGCTGCATAGATTTTATTCACTGTTAAACTGTTATCTTTTGCTTGAAAGTCAGTCTGATCTCTTTGAACGTTACATAGCCTAGTCCTTGAAGAGCACCATGCCTTTATACATGTTTCAACTGTATAAAGGCAATGTTTTTGATCTCCTAATGCACCTCTCTAGAAGTAAACTATCTTTAAAGGTTGGAAGTGAAAAGCCACATTATATTCAGGGTTGCTGAGTTATCAAGTTAAGCGTAATATGCAAAGTTCCGAATTTTGGACGGACCAAGAAGCAAATGTTTCAAAGTAAATCATTTACATATTAGAATGTGTATGTTCAGGCCTAAATTATTACTCTAATGCAACACAACTGTCTATTTTATTCCCACAGGATGCAGACTCTGCTTATTTCAGCAAGCCTAAAGCCTCATGAGGCCTTAGGAAGGAGACTTTGTTCAATAATCGCACACAATTCAGATGGTAACACATTTGGGCCTGGATTTCTGGATAATTTCAAGCTACTTTTGAAAGTTGTTGCCTGCTAACAAGTTTATTTTTCATGTCTTTTTTACTTCTAACATTTTGGGTTTACGTTCAAGGAAAAAAAAAACATTGTTATGCTTTCATTACTTTATGTATGGGCCAGTGCAAAAATCATAAAATAAAGGAGCTCTGTTTAAGGTTGTTGCATACTGGTTGTTGTCCCATCCCTATTGCCCTTTAAGCTCCCAGTCGTACAGTAATTATTTAAAACAAAGGAAGGTTGCGCACCCATCATCTGTACTTCAGTTGGCAGGTTTTCCCAACGTTTTCTTATCCGAGTATAGGATATGAATGACCATCAGCGAATTTAATAATCTAAACAACATTGCCAGGCCCTTTATTATTGGAACATATAAAAATACAACAGTTATACACAAAAGACTTGACAAGGAAAAGCTGAGTGAAGTTGTAAACAAGTGTATTGTAAACAAAATGCCAGCACAAACAATTACACACATCAGAATATATTAAAGGCACAATGTAAAGTACACGAAGGAGAAGTATTGAGCCCTTATCTTACAAATGAGATGGGCAAGTCCTTATTTTGAGCATATGTTTTATTTACAATTAAAATGTTGCTCTGTTGTGCAGTTTAAGCATAAGTTAAATAATGCCACATCACGTCAACTAGGTGACCTTGTTCCATTTGAACTGCTCTAAGGTTGAGGGTCAGAGGCTGGGGAAATGTAGTGGGACAGAGGAATAGATGGGGTATCCTAGAGGAGGGTCTGCAGCCTGCACGGTCAGGTTCCTGAGGAGGTAAGGATGCGCCTGGATGCTGTAGCGCTCCTCGTCGTCATTTGTGGCATAGAGAAGCTCCCAGGACAGGTTGGCCCACTGTCCCCGGACCCCTTCCCCATTTAGACGGCCCACCTGCATCAGTTGCTCCTGCAGGGATAAGACCCGTCCTGTGTACGTGCCCTGTAGAGACAAACAATTTCACTCTGCTGCCGTTTAAGACCACTGGAAGACGCCATCGTATTTATAGATTTACAAAAGAAGTTATTCCTTGCTAATGCATGAGGGTCTAAGGCCAGTGGTGATGATTCAAGGACATTTAACGACAAGTCTGGACATTTATTAACATGTATGGACATCGGTCATCCACTCCTTACAGACCAATCGAGTTGCTTGTCTCCAAAGAAAATGAAAGATGAATTTCATAGGGCATTCCGGTCCTAGATTAGGTGTGTTAAACCGGTTACAGAAAGGGCCGGTGTGGCCACAGGTTTTTGTTCACACCAGACTTCACCCATTTCCTCATCTCATAACTCCAGGCAACTATAATTTCCCTACATGTACGTCTGGGTCTGCTCTCAAGTGTCTGCAGTTACCTTGTTAGTATCCCATACGACCAATCAGCGAGCGGGGGAGGCGTGTGTTGAAGGTAGGATGTCGGTGACGTCAAGAGTTTGCACCGAATTTGCTGGTTGTAGTTTGGCAATGGCGGAGAATGCTATTGTAAAGTTATCCATTCTGGTTCGGCTCCCAAATAAAGAAATTGAAGCCGGAGCAAGAGGATTGTTTAGCTAACGTCATTGTTGGCATTCCACTACTTGTTTTGGTTTTCTGAAGGCCAAGCTACTGGCACGTTGGCGAATGCTGATTGGACGTTCTCCATTCCTCCATGCTGTATAATATCATTTGCATTCTGTAGCATCTTTGTTCGTGCCATCTATCATCGACAAAAAAACATGTCTTCTTTCTGAATTAAAGACACTATCCCAGACTTTGTTTTTTTCCTCAGATCTTCTGGCTCTACTCCCCACGGGCTTGCAAAGGAGATGACTGAAGCTAGGCTAAATGCTACGTGCGTGACGTATATGTAATGCGCCTGAGTGAGTCTCTAGCTTGCCATGACGGCAAACTCAGATCCAATCTGCAAAAGGAGTTACGGAGGTGGGAGGGGTTAACCTTTGAATATAAATTTTATACGATGGTGTGGTAAGACCAGGCTAGGTTAAAACTGGACTCACCTGAAGAAATGAGTGAAGTCTAGTGTGTTCCAGCTCAGGTTGCAATTGAAACCTGTAGCCACACTGGCCAGTGAATGTCTGCTACAAACTGCTATAATGTATGGACCCTTGAGTGGATTCTCCAAACACTGGGCCAAAACTCAGACTGGTTTGATTATAGAGTGGTTTTTGAACGTACTCTATTCTTATACTTTGTAAGACCTGTACTCACTGTAGTTTAGACAGCTATATTAAATTCAAATAGATTTAGTTTTGTATAGCACTAAATCACAACAGCAGTAGTCTTTGAGGACATTACAAAGCTGTTGATTTGCCAATATCAGATCAGGGAATTAAACCGTTCGAATACAGGAAATGCAGGAGCCATTTATCCATAGGGAATGGGATGTCCAATGTTGATAAATGTCTCTTAACAATCTATTTTCTTTAGAACCTCTAAAATTAAAAACCCAGAGGGGAAAAACACTTGAGGCATAAATCTCTATTGCTACTTTTACTACTAAAAGTCTTCATAATTCTATAAAACATAAATGTCCCTAGTTAGCATCATATACAGATTTTTTTACTAACTGCAATTTAAAACTTGTTAATGTTACAGTGCCTTGCAAAAGTATTCGGCCCCCTTGAACCTTTCAACATTTCGCCATATTTCAGGCTTCAAACAAAGATATCAAATTGTAATTTTTTGTCATGAATCAACAACAAGTGGGACACAATTGTGAAGTGGAATGAAATTTGTTGGATAATTTAAACTTTAACAAATAAAAAACTGAAAAGTGGGGCGTGCAATATTATTCAGTCCCTTTCCTTTCAGTGCAGCAAACTCAGTCCAGAAGTTCAGTGAGGATCTTTGAATGATCCAATGTTGTCCTAAATGACTGATGATGATAAATAGAATGCACCTGTGTGTAATCAAGTCTCCGTATAAATGCACCTGCTCTTTGATAGTCTCAGGATTCTGTTTAAAGCGCAGAGAGAACCATGAAGACAAAGGAACACACCAGGCAGGTCCGAGATACTGTTGTGGAGAAGTTTAAAGCCGGATTTGGATACAAAAAGATTTCCCAAGCTTTAAACATCTCAAGGAGCACTGTGCAAGCAATTATATTGAAATGGAAGGAGTATCAGACCACTGCAAATCTACCAAGACCCGGCCGTCCCTCAACTTTCATCTCAAACAAGGAGAAGACTGATCAGAGATGCAGCCAAGAGGCCCATGATCACTCTGGATGAACTGCAGATAACTACAGCTGAGGTGGGGATGGTGTGTTCAGGGTGATGAGCTGTGTTGCTTTTACGCCAAACATATCGTTTTGCATTGTGGCCAAAAAGTTCGATTTTGGTTTCATCTGACCAGAGCACCTTCTTCCACATGTTTGGTGTGTCTCCCAGGTGGCTTGTGGCAAACTTTAAGAGACTTTTATTGGATATCTTTGAGAAATGGCCACTCTTCCATAAAGGCCAGATTTGTGCAGTGCACGACTGATTGTTGTCCTATGGACAGACTCTCCCACCTCAGCTGTAGTTATCTGCAGTTCATCCAGAGTGATCATGGGCCTGCATTGGCTGCATCTTTGATCAGTCTTCTCCTTGTTTGAGATGAAAGTTTGGAGGGACGGCCGGGTCTTGGTAGATTTGCAGTGGTCTGATACTCCTTCCATTTCAATATAATTGCTTGCACAGTGCTCCTTGAGATGTTTAAAGCTTGGGAAATCTTTTTGTATCCAAATCCAGCTTTAAACTTCTCCACAACAGTATCTCGGACCTGCCTGGTGTGTTCCTTTGTCTTCATGGTTCTCTCTGAGCTTTAAACAGAACCCTGAGACTATCAAAGAGCAGGTGCATTTATACGGAGACTTTATTACACACAGGTGCATTCTATTTATCATCATCAGTCATTTAGGACAACATTGGATCATTCAAAGATCCTCACTGAACTTCTGGAGTGAGTTTGCTGCACTGAAAGTAAAGGGGCCGAATAATATTGCACGCCCCACTTTTCAGTTTTTTATTTGTTAAAAGTTTAAATTATCCAATAAATTTTGTTCCACTTCACGATTGTGTCCCACTTGTTGTTGATTCATGACAAAAAATTAAAATGTTATATCTTTATGTTTGAAACCTGAAATGTGGCGAAATGTTGAAAGGTTTACTTTCGCAAGGCACTGTAGTTTGCAGCACTCACCACTTACAAGAAAAACAGCTATATTTCCAGAGTGTAAAATGTGTGTAAAGCGTGATCACCATTGAAAGATCATGTCCCAGTGAGAAAAGGAAAGGCTTCTCCCTCAGGATGCTGTCATGCCAGCCTTTTTCGGTCACCAATCCGATGTACCAGTCCCGCTCGTATTCCTCCAATGCGCTGAACAGTTCTTCTGGAGACTCCATAGGCCCAAAGCTGGCTTGGTCAAACAGCAGTTTAAAACTGAACCTAAAGAGAACATAGAGGTGTTTGATGCGTCTCGTTCAATTATGAGGAGAAATAAAACAATGTAGAGCTGTGGTCTTCAAGCCGGGTGGCTACAACCAAGTTGGGGGCACAAGAGTACTTTACCAGAAGACTGAAAAAAATGTCGTCTGATGTTCTACTGCTTGGTTGGATTTTGGGCTGTAACAAGTTATACAAAACTAATACATTATTTAAATAGTTGTCAGATAATTTAGTAACTGAGTCATTGTTTTTTCAATCTTACACATTCTGAGAAATGGTTTTATGAATGAAATCAAAAGTATTGTTAGTCAAACAATCCAACGTGCAACTAGTCATCTATATGATAGATGTTCTCCAGCTGTATTTGTACTTTTAGATTTGTCTTTGTTAAATAAATCCCATATTCACTGAGCTTTCAGGAGTCAAAACAAAATATCAAAGTACAACCTAGTAGATATAACTAAACTATTGCTGTGCCGTTTTGTTTTCAATCAATAATTTACTTTGTTGGACTAGTTATCAATAAATTAGTGTTTAATTGTTTTATAGTTGATTGACTTGTTTCAGTCCTTACATAAATTAACATTAAAGGTGGCAAGCATTTACCTGAAAGCTTGTTGTGCGATCTGATACAGCTCTTTACAGCAAGAAAGCCAGTCCAAAGTGTCTGACCAGGGTATATCTCCGCAGAATAACCTATAGACATAACTGGGGCTGGTGAAGGGGGATTCAGCTCCCATAGAAACCAGACAGGACATAGTCACACGACAATGTAGCTCTTTCAATGCCTCGTCCTCTTTCAGAGCTTTCGTCATGTCCTCTGTGTTGTCACTTTGGACTGTAGGCCCAAAGCGGCCGAGTGCAAACCTGAACCAGTCCTCTGGAAAGAGAGGCTTCAGCTGCAACAAACGAGAGGGTAGTAAAGGAGCCGTCCTCCAGCCACTAGGCAGGTTAAAGACCTCAGACTGAGGGCAGCTGAAGTTCAGGGGAGGCAGAGTGCTCACCCTCTCTCTCTGTGGCCCTTTATCTGCAGCAGGCAGCCCGATGCCCAGCCCCAGAGGCTGCAGTGGCTGCAATGCAGACATAGCCATGTTCTCAAACAAACTGTCCATTTCAACAGAACCGGGTAGAGAGGCTCCCTGCTGCAGCGCTGCTGACCCACAGTGGGCCTCTGCGCTCACTAAAGCTACAGTTCTCTTGACTGTGTGAGGGCCAAACAAATCCTCCTCATCAGACCATTCCCCAAACGATGTCATGCTGGAGCTATCCTGCCTGAACTTCAACGAAGACATGTTGGACTGAAGGGCAGGCTCAGTTACAGGCTGGACACAGGTGGTGTGAGGGAGCTGAGAGGACTGGGACCTTCTACCTCCCATCCCTGATCCGTTATCAAAACTCCAGAAGAAGCCCTTGTGTTTTTGGATGCAGTAACGGAGTAGCAGCCACACCAGAGCTTTGAGAAAATCATTCTGAAGTTTCTTCAGATTGTCATGAGAATCAATGATGCCAGAGAGAACATTCCTGGCATCAGAATAAACCCGGAGGGACAAAGCAGTACATGGAGTAAGAGCATTCCCCCAGTGCAGGTTGAAGCCTCGGGTCAATCCCAGATTCTCTGGACGCTCAAATGCATTTTCAAACACCTCATCGACTCTGCGAGCCTCCACGGTGTGACAGGAAGTCTCCTGCAGCTCCAGACCCTGTAATACATTATATATAGCAGATCATTCATTTGGTAGTTTCTCACCCCCATAGTGAAATGGTTTCGCTGTTTACCTTTATATTCACTGTACAGTAGCCATAGCCACGTTCCAGGATCATAATCCAAACCATGCGATCCTGAAAGCGACCAAGGAAATGAGAGCCTGGAGCCAAGGAACCTAGAGCAAGAAAAGCAGGAATGTAATTAAAGTTGTTTGAGATAATCAATTAGTTGTTTTGATCTAAAAAGCTCAGTGAAGATTGGATTTTAATATAACCAGATTGACCAAAAAAAAAGTTCAAGTGATGTTCCTGTAGGACATTTTCATAGGAGATGACTTGCTATACATTGAGTTATTTGATTAGAAATACTTTCATTTAAATCTAATTTCATTAAGTCATAAATCCTCAAATGTTTAATGGCTAAAAGTCAATTAACTTGACATAAAGAAAAGCAATGCATGAGCCATCCATCATACATTTAAGGGCAACAAAATAATCAGGTGTTTAGTGAACAATACATAAAATTGCAACTGGTAGAATTGGTTTTAAACCAGAGAACATGTACGGTGGGGCAAAAAAGTATTTATTCAGCCACCAAGTTCTCCCACTTCCACGATGAAAATTACAAGACCCCCTCATCTTAGTCTGTCTCTCATAGTTGAGGTATACCTAAGAAAAAGATCCAGAAAATCACGATGACAATGATCCCAAACTTGGTGTGTTTGGGATTGTCGTCATGCTGAAAGACCCAGCCACGCTTCAACTTCAATGCCCTTGCTGATGGAAGGAGGTTTTCATTCAAAATCTCACGATACATGGCCCCATTTATTCTTTCCTTTACACAGATCAGTCATTCTGGTCCCTTTTCAGAAAAACAGCCCCAAAGCATGATGTTTCCACCCCTTCTTTGGATGCATCTCAGCATTCTCTCTTCCCCAAACAAGATGAGTTTAAGTTCTATTTTGGTTTCATCTGACATTCTCCCAATCATCTTCTGGATCATCCAAATGCTTTCTAACAAACTTCAGATGGGACTGATACGTCTGGCACTGCAGGATTTAAGTCCCTGGCGGCGTAGTGCGTTACTAACTGTAGCCTTAGTTACTTTGGTCCCAGCTCTCTGCAGGTCATTCACTAGTGTGGATCTGGGATTTCTTCTCATCGTTAATGTGATCATTTTGACCCCATGGGGTGAGCTCTTGCGTAGAGCCCCAGCCCCAGATCAAGGGAGATTGTCAGTCTTCTTCACACCTATTGCAGAGTCTAGCCTGGTGCAGGTATACACTTTTGTGTCTGATGTCCTTTGACAGAGTTTGGAGTGTGACGGTATGTGGACAGGTGCCATTAATACAGGTAACAGGTGGAAGACAGAGAAGCCTCTTAAAGCAGTTACAGGTCTGTGAGAGACAGAAATCTTGCTTGTTTGTAGGTGACCAAACACTAATTTCCACCATAATATGCAAATAAATTATGTAAAAATTAAGACACTGTAATTTTCTAGCTTTTTTTCTCATTCTGTCACTCATAGTGGAGGTATACCTATGACAGGTCTCCCTCATCTTTTCAAGTGGGAAAACTTACAGAATTCTAGGCTGACTAAATGCTTTCCCCCCCCCAACTGTATAGTTTGAAATCAGCAGTCACAGTCTATGATATAATCTGTTTCCTCATGCACTTCCAGAACCCATCATAGCAGCAGCAGCAGCTCCATTTGGCCCAAGAGTATTTCATGGTTAATAGTGTGGAAACATTTGGATGAAATGAATACAGATCAGAGATGTTTTTGGGTCACTTCACATAATGCTCAGCAGGATCATGCACGCTTGCATTAAAGCCAGTAACTCCAACGAGCTGCTCACAGCAACATTCCTCTCACTAATATACTGCTATATACAGGGACGCCTCATTGAGCTCTGATCTGCACATACTCCCAACTTAACCCAAAGAAGACTGCAATTACAGCCATCAAATGAGTATGAGAATAAAAATAAATTAACACTGCATACAAAATATTAGGCCTTTTAAAAATCAAGGCAGTGGCTAACCAAAACTGTAAAACATAATATCTCCAACAAAATCATACAAAACTAATTTAATATTATTCAAATATTAATGGAACTAATGGAAAGTGAATGATACAAAGAAAACAAACCTAGTGATCCTCTTGCAAAGGCCTTTCTCAGAGCAGAAGCTAAACTTGAAATCATCTGTTGGTAAAACACAGAGTCAGGACAGGGGCAGGCCGTGCCCACAGGCCCAGGCCAAATGCGCTGTGGCCGAGGAAATCCCACAAGGAAGATGGGGAGAGTGAAGAGAGGCAGCAAGGGAGCTGACAGGAGGGCTGAGAGGGTCATTACTCCCAACAGCAGAGGCCACAGTGTGGCATTCAGAGCCAATAGTGTCCCAGCAGACTGCCGCCGCTGCTTTTTCTCTGTCCATGAGGTGATGAGAACAGTCAGACTAAACTTGAGTTTGTAGATGAACTGACTCAGTCTGTCTACCAGAAGACCAACCTAAGCAGAAGTGCCATGGTTAATCCAATGTGTACAATGTTATATTATTGAAGGAGCAATCTTACCAGCAGGAGCTGGATGCCTATCCCAAAGTTGTCCCATCCTTGCAGGATTTTGTTTCCAGCTACAAGCCGCAGCAAAATGACCACAACAATGTGAAAGATAGCCTCCTCTGTGCTTTGCCACACCTGCAAATATGTCATGTCAAATACAGAAGCTTCTATGTATGTAGAAAAAGACAATATGAAAAAGGACCACTTTAAAGTGCTCACAAACCGTTTATTGATAATTTCAGCAGATGCAGTTTGAAAGGGGACACAACCTACTTTGTGAGCATAAAATTGGGGGCTGAGTGTGATGCAATTTTGAAGCATGTGTGAGAGTTCTGTGATGTAATTGTGGCCTTGGTCTGAACTCATTTATTACAAATTTAAATAAAGAGTTTAAAATGAAAAAAATAAAACCTTTTGAGCCATTTTAGAGTTTTGTTCACTCTGATTTAGTGTCTTCATTATACAGTATAACAATCATCCACATGATAGTTTAAATATTTTTCAAACTTTACATGACAGAAAAGACATCAAGAACCCTTTTATCACTCTTGAAACAAAATGGAATAATTATTTTTATTCAGCATTAATGCTCTACGGCACTTGAATTTTTAATGAGTGTATAATGTATGTTTGCACAAGTTTAAAATTTAATTAACAAATGACCATGTGCACTCACCGCTCTAAAAGCTCTTGTTAACCCAATGGAATGTGAAGCCGTGTGTAGCTTTATCAAAGATTCATCCATGGCTAGAAACGCGATCATTGCCAAAGGAGACACTGTAAATAAAAGAGCTGTAAGTATATTTTTTTTGTACATTTTCAAAAGTTAAAAACAGAAACATACTCTACCGAGATAGATAAGAAATCTCCTGAGTGCTGCAGCTATGTGGAGTCCCTTGATGCGCAGCTTAAAAGTCTGAATATTGGACATCCCTTTAGGGTAAAAAGGGTTGAGGAACAATCCTCCAAACACATATGCCCCCTGCACCTCTCGTAGCACCCAGCTGAGGCCGAAGACAACAAGGAGGAGATATCCAACCATGCCCTGTGGTCCATTAACAAAACCCAAGAACTGTACTTTTCCCATAAAGTAATGAAGCAGGCCAGCCTCAACACCTGCCCCCAGTAACAGGGCCAGGTACAACAGGATCTCTCTGCAGCCAAGAGTCCAGCCAAATGAACTCTGAGGGGGTGGCGGTGCTGGGGACCCCCCACGACCTAACAGTGTCCTTAAAGTCTCTGTGGAACCATTACAAAAATGTCTTGTCTGGCTGAGATCCAAGCTCAATAGAAATCCCATAGAGACGGAGAAGAGAAGGAGAGCCATTGTTGAGGGAATAAAGTAATTACATACAGCCACTCCAGAGGACACACCAAACATCAGCAGCAACCTAGGTCAAGTGAGAGAGATACATAAACATCAAGAACAAATATTTCAGCAATAAAACAAATAATATTGTAATACCGTCACATGAATACAAGTAACTGGTTTATAATACTGAAGAAGTGGCTGTAGATTTCAAAGATATTGAAAACATGTGATAAGAATGTTTATAAAAATAATTTAAAAGAGCCCCTTTCAGTCGGATAGCTTTATTCTCAGTGGACAAGAATTACTGAGAGAAACAACTCTCCCTAAACTCTCTCTGTAATGCCTACATTCACAGTAGTAAATGACTTCTAGCTAAACTGAAGAATAATAAAAAGTCAATAAAATCAATTCACCTGAGGTTGCTGGACATGGGGGAGCCACCTAAACCAAACACAAGAATCTGCTCCATGGCCCAAAGAAGGAGAGCATCCAGGGGCGGCAGCATTCCCAGGGCCCACATAAGAGGTAGAAAGATGAACACCACATGCAGAATCTGGCTGACCAGGTGAAGCTCTGGAACAGCTTCAGAAAACCTGAGAGACATGATCAAATTAAGACAAAAGATCCAGCATCATAAGAAAGGTTTTACCATTTAGTTTCTTACCTTTCTGCCAAATCTACAGAGATAAAGATGAATATGAAAAAAGGCCGGGTGAGTGGGGTGATTTCAAAGGTGTCCTGTGTTTGGAAGGTAGCAGTCTCTGTAGCGGTGTTAACAATGAGGGAATACTCAGCAATACACAGTGTCACCCAGCTGAGAACAAAGATGGCCATGGATGCACCTATGCTGTTGTACAGTGTGGAGAGCCGGCTGAGAAACACATACCATGTGCCAAATCCACACAGCATCCCAGCAAGAACAGTATGCAGCACAATATTCAGACCAAATCTCTTTCCAGGTGCTATGAAATGCACAGTCTCAAGGCTGATACAGTGGGTGAACTCCACCTCCTCTTCATCAACCAAAATGTTGTTAACTCCCAGCCTCTCGACTGTGGCATTCTTATTAACTGCATACAATGCCAGGGCCTGGACACCCACTGCCACACCAAACATGAGCAGTCCAGACAAAACTGCAGCATGAAGCTCTTGAAGCAGCTGCAGCTGGCAAAGCAGAGTGCTGATCCCTCCAAACAGCCATGGTGCTAGGAACAGAACAACCTGGTTGACATACACGTAAGGTGGAGCACAGTAGCCCAACTTGAATCGTGGACCACCCAACACCGTCTGGGGGAAGCGTTTCCAGAAGAACTCTTGCTTGTACTCATTAAGAAGGGGCACATCTGGCCCCATTCTGACCATTCCCAAAATCTCTTCACAGTTGCAGGAGGTGGAGCACTCATTCTCCTAAAAGGCTACCTGCAGTAAACATGTGGTACAATACAATATGAATGACTCATGTAACACAAAAACATTGTTATGATGATCAAACTCAAACTTTCACTGAAAATTCCGCACTGTGGGGGGAATAAAGGATCTCTTAATCTTAACTTAGCATGAATTCTGAAGCTAACTATATGTAGGTAACGTGCGTACATTTTAACTAACACTTGTGAGGTGTAATAGACTATACAGCTTTATTAAAACAAACAGTCCTGCTTTATTGAGTTGCTACACCGCGTTAGCCTATCTCTATGGTCACTAGCTTCCTCTTCTCGCTAGCTTACGACTTGCTAACATAGCAGAAACATCACTGATACGCATTTAAGCTACAACATACCTTCAACAGGACGGAAGGCTACGTCTATTCCATGTGGCATTAACGTTAAAGCAAAGAGATGCACACATCGTTGTCTATTTAATCGGAATAAGACCATAGTGGTCGGCTAACTAGCTGCTTTAAAGCCAACAATATCAACATGATGCACAGATTGTGATGTGGAGTGTTGACCAATGGAAGTGCTCAAACCAGAACCAAGAAGAATGCTGATTGGCTGAGTATTAGGCCCCGCCCAGTTCGGCCACAGAAAGAAAACGGTAAAGGTAAAACATTTAAATGAGATGCTACACATAAATTATGATTGCCCACTGTACATACTGACGTATACTAATGTATCCGTGCACGGATATCAGTGTAGGAATAGTATATGAATATATAGGACTATGATAATCCGGAGTGTGTGCGTGTATGTGTGTGAGTGTATGTATGCGTGTGTGTGTGTGTGTATGTGTTTGTGTGTATGCGCGCGCGTCTTGTATGTGCGTGTGTATGTTCATGAATCATGTGTCTTAGTTAAAATTCCCTGAAAATAACTATTAAACCTTTCATTCTAATTGTCTGTTTTCGCACTTGCACCATTCACTCGTGCTATTAAAAGAAAACAAATTATGTGAAAATTACAGCTACAATAATAACTCAATGACAAACTGAATAAAGATACGGCCTTCTGTGAGTGTGGTTGAGACAGTACAAATATGTTAATTCATGAGCTGGGGGCGGGTGCATATGTACAGAGTTGATAACTATAATAACTCTTGTTTATAAGTAAACATCAAACGTCATCCTCTTAGCACAGACTCTGAGCATGAACAACACACTCCATTGAGCAATAATTCAGTTTGTATTAATGGTGTTTCAAATGCACACACAGCACGGGCAGTCGAGCAGCAGTAACGGCCCCATAATGCGCTCCCCGTATAGGACTGTAGTCTCCATCATGAAGCCGGGAGATGGAACAAAATATTGTACAACATGTATTATACAACCCCCCTTTACTGGTGTCTTCTTGCATCCCAATGCAGGAAAATAATTGTAGGTACAAATTGAACTCAGGAAATTAGAATAGTACCATTCAAAGTTTTATTTATCTCTGTAAAACAATTGAAAATGGGAACCAAGTATATGATATAGAGTAGACTCATTACATGTAGAGTGACATATGCCAGGCCCTTGTTTGCTATGAGGATAATGGCTTACAGTCCATTATTCTAATCTCCTGAGAGTTTTATTTGAGGTTATCAACATTGTAACTAGTGCTTGATATGTTTCAGTTTCAGTTTTGTATTTTAGAAACTTGACTACTAAAGAAGTCTACTTTTCTTACTATAAGATTACACCAACTATTATGTGGGTTTATATTTAAAACCAAGTTCACAATTATGAAATGTGCAATTATCCTTTGCATTACCTAAAGTATCTAAGAGCTTTTACTGAGCACTCAAATCTGTGCATTAGGTCCTCTTTTTCGCAGGGGTCCATCAGCCAAAGCAGAGTAATGACAGTGCACTCACGGGAGCAGTCATTAGCTGTGTGTAAATCTGGGAATTAACACAAATTAAGTGAAGTTAAGTACATGCATTAGAGGGGCTTGTTTGGGCCGAGCTTGTCTTTTACCACTTTTACAGCTGGCAAACTCTCTCTGCACGCTCTACAATATGGCTACAATCATAAACTCTTTTAGACATATGGCTTTCTTCACTGGGATTCAATGAAACACACACATTTAAAAAATGAACAAAGCTGTTTTTGTGTGAGACAGTGAAGTGTGCAGGCAAGCTTTTTATAAAGAGGCTACATGATTATACAGTCAGTGAAATCCATTTGGACCAAACTCCAGATTACATCTTTATCTGAGCATCGACAGATTATTGTCCACAGAGAGGTGTGCTAAAGATGGATTATCCATTTGTTGGGGATCCATGTGACCTCTCTGGATGAGGCAGGCCAGCCGCACACACCCTTACATCTGTGGCTGTTTTTTATTGCTTGTTTGCAACAGCCGATAGCAAACCAAAGGGAATGACACTAAAACCCTTCATCCTCAGATTAACATATTTACTCATCTATAGTACAAAAAAAGATTCATTACATTCACATGTATTTTTTATTTTACAGGCCTAGTCAATAAAAACCCAGTTATGTGTTTGGAGGTTTGGCTCCATTTGAGAACCTGAAAAATGAAAAACAGTTATGAAAGACTGAACGTACAGTATTTGAGTCATGGGGACCAGTCCACAGACCTGCCATCCTGCTCTGGTGGGGAATATGTCATATTAAGACCAGTGCTCGACAGGCTTCCCCCAGTTCTGCGCACTGATCTCACCTCACTTCTGGCTGGATTAGAGTGTTTGTGCTTCTTATCTGGGGTCATAAATCAAAAATGGTCAGAAATAGCATTGTCAATATATTGTTTATCCAAAGGAAACATAACAACAAAGGGTTGAGGTGATTTGTTACTACCTAAATAAGGGATAACATTTACTACTAAAGAAAATCATAAGAATAACCGTGACTGTTATTACACTGCTATAATACACAGGGCTGTCCATTAAGATAAGAGAAGCCTGGTTTTTCTCACAGCGAGGAAATGTAAGCTAGTAAATATTTAAATAACTAAACTCTTATGCTTTATTTCACAGAAGTTATAATTAAAGCTGGGATATTTACAGTGGGGCGGCTGCGGCTGTAAAGTGCCAAACTGCCGTTGTGTCCTTAGGCAAGATACTTCACCCCCATTGCTTAGAATGTCTGGTGTGTGTGTGTGAATTGTTGGTAGTGGTCGGAGGGGCTGATGGCGCATACTGGTTGCCTCGCTTATCACCAGTAGTTTATCACCACCGTGTATGGAGTGAAAGAATAATGACATGTAAAGCGTCTTTGAGTGTCCAGAAAAGCGCTATTTAAAACTGATGCATTATTATTAATATTATTACGTTTTTCTTTCAATAATACAGTTTCTGTGTTTAAAAAAAACTAAAACAGTTGAGACCACAACATGCTGTCTTAAACTCATTAGAAATAGTTTTCATCTTTTGCAAAAGAGTCATGCTGAGAGTTGATTGGCTGAGCAAGTGTCAACGCCAGCTTTAAAGTTCATTCTGATAGTCCTCACTCATTGTTCTTCACACGGCAGTTCAAAACTTACACCTGTAGCCGTGAAGGAGCTGGGCCTCGTCTGCAGCAGTGGAGAAGTCCTGACCTTGGATGAGGTTGTGCAGACCACTCATGGTGGTGATGGCTTTTAAAGTCGTGTTACGTGACATATGAGGGAGAAGTCCGGGCAGGTTTATCTCGGTTGTGAACTGTGGGCATGGCTACGAGAGAAGAGATTCAGATTTCATGGTATCAGCTTTGTGTATACCAACTATGGCTAAACTGCCGCTATTACAGTATAAGAAGGTGATTTTGATGGAGTGTTTATATTTTGTAATTCTCTGCTCTCACGCTCATATTTAGCTCTTCATGCAGAGGGGGTTATGTTGACCTGGCTAATAGGGGCTAAATCCACTGGTGCATTATCGGCCAGGCACATTTCATCTAATCAGCAGGATGATGCCAGTAGGCTTAGGCTGCTTTTAATTCAGAGCTGCCGGAGAATTACTGGGCTGGCTCTCATTACAGCAGCATGGAGTCACTAATACTCACTGAGTCTGATCCGGGTTATTCTGAATTATGAAAGCTGGCTGTTTACATAAAGTGATGGTGCAGCATGTCATGTCTGTAGCAGTTAAAAAAGCAAGCGTGTAGCGTCCAGAATAGTTAATTGTGATGTGTTTTCTCACCAATGCCTCTGTGTTGAGCAGTTCAGCCATGGTCCTCTCCTCCACAGTCACCACCACTTCATCTAGGATCTGGAGCTGAGACAGGCGCAGGACCACCGCTGCTCTGTGCAGAGAGTTCCGGGCAACCTAAAAAAAAAGCTTACGGTAAAAAAATTACTGCATTTTTGTATTATTTTGTATTTGCAGCTTACTTATCATCCATCAATAATAATGCTATAGTAAAGGCTCTTTCTGAACACATATAACCTTTCACCTTACATTCCCACATCCTGAGCTAAGTGAGAATGACCCATCTGATGGTCTGTTGACCAGAGTTTGACCAGCAGTGTAATTTCAATTGCATTTATTCTTGTAATTGAAACAGTAGTTATCTAAAACGGTTCAAACACTAGAAATGTGATAATATTATTATTTTTTATTATTTATTTTTTATTTGGTTGGGACAGTACATGTGAATGAACACATCACTCCAATGGTCCATAAGGGGCACATGACCAATGCCCATAAATGTTAATAAATGTTGCGTGTTGAATGCCAGGAGAAGTTCAGCCTGACATTGGCTGAGTCACAATAAATATAATGATTTTATGTGGTTAACAGAGTTAATCTTTGTCTCATTGGGAAACATTGGGCTTGTGTATAAACCCTCAAGGAGAGAGCCTGACTGGAAGGGACAAAGAGCTGCTCCACAGCTGTGCATGGTTCAAGACAGGCCTTTTCCTGTGGACTCAGGCCTGATCATCAGCTGCAGATGAGGCAAGCCAATAGTGTGATTTTGTGGTCAGCAGATTAGTATGTGAGGTCTGCCAGTTTGGTCTTCCAGGGGCTGCAATATATTCAATATATCCAAAAACAGAAATATATAGAGGTTTGGCCTTACCTTGTAAACTGCCTTCAATAGTAAGGCCTTGTTATTATGTGTTGTGATAAGATTTCAACTCAGTGCTGCTAACACTAAGCAGATCTTTTAGATACTAATATGAAGAATAATGAATTGAACAAAGCCTTGAATTTGAGGATGCAGTCAACTTCTAATTGAAAAAGCATGAATTGAGAAGGAAAAGTTGTTTTCCATCTGCAGCCCCTGCATTTGCAGAGAGACATTACAACAGGTCTAATAGGTGTTGCTAATAATGGCCACAATAGGCATGGGTAAATATAAAGTGTAAGATAATCGGGACTATGTATTCTGTGTACACTTACATGCAGATTGAAAAACACTTACTGGATTGCCGATCACACAGAGCTCTGTCAGTGATGAAAGGTTTTCTAGTTTCTCCAATTCTGCAGGATCCTGTTGAATTGTGTCCAGAAGTTACTATTAAGTACAAGCGACCTTTGTCATACGCAGCACAATGAATATTTCTATGATGGAAGAAGGACAGCACATTGGAGGGCACAGATTACATATGTGAATTTGTGTTAATCTCATGAGAATCCGGACAGGCGACAGAGTGGGGGTAGCTTCATAGCAGAATTTGGCTGTGATTCAAAAGACGCCCCCGCTGCGAGAAACATTGTGCTAGGTGATTGCTGTATTTTCCTAATTGAATGCATGAAAACATTAAGGCGGTGAAGGAGAGTAGGACATAAAAGTGCAAATGACTTGTGCCCATTGAGCAGGAGATGCGGACTGAGAGGCTGATTACGTGTTCTCCTGATTGTCTCTCTCTGTCTTCATACATACATCTGTGACCTTCAATCAAACTTGATTCTGCCTAATGCTACCCCTCGCATGCAACAGCGGGTTGGTAATGACTCATGATTACTATACTTCATGTCCTTCTTTGCAAACACCAAAAGTAATACTACTCCAATTTGAATAAAATACATTCTCAAATATCTGACCCATTTAGCAAAGAAAGCAATCAGTAAAAGTTGGTAACACTGTGACCTTGATGGTCTCTTTAAGAAATCAGTACAAGTCATTCAACCATTCTCTGAAAGCCTAAAACACAAAAGCTCAGAGGAGCACGGTACCTGCAGTCTGTTGGAGCCAAGGGAGAGCTTCCGCAGCTCTGTCATGTGCTCCATGTGGCTGAGGTCACGGACACGATTCTCTGACAGGTGCAGTTCTAAAAGTGCAGTCTGACCAACAAAAGAGTTCTCTGAAAACGATTTGATCCGATTTTTGTCCAGCACCAGTTCTCTGAGAAATTTGAGTCCTTCCAGTCCCTCTACCTGGCTGATATCATTACCTGTAATAATAATAATTGTACTGTATGAGTTTTAAATAGGACTTTCCAGGACACTTAAAATAAGTTTCACATGTTGTTATTCATTCAATCCATTCAGAATGATGATATAACCACTATGGTAGCCACAGTTGCCGTGGGGCACACTGACAGAAACGAGGCAACCAGTGTGTGCCATTGGCCTATCCGACCACCACCAACAATTTACACACCAAACTTTTACTAGGCAATGTGGGATAAGTGTCTTGCCTAAGGACACAATAACAATTTGTCATTTTACTGTACAGCGGCCTCACTGTGGCACCTGATGATTCTGATGGGAGAAGTCTGACGGGATCTGGCTTTCACATGCAGATGGAGCAACAATATCAAAACAAAAGGCCTAATGTGAATCAATCAATCTGTGTATTGTGGCGCCTTTTGCCACAATATATTCCAATGTGGTTTTACTGCAAATGGCAAATAAAATGTATCTGATTGAAATCTGACTGTAACCATATGCACCATACCTTCTGTTTCAATGTTGAATAAAAAAAAACAAACAATGAATCTGAGTGAAAGAAATATTTTAACAATACTCGGAAATATAGTGGGGAACTTATGTCACCAAAAGCATTCTGGAGCAAGAGTTAAAGCTGGGACATTTACAGCTTGTTTTGCGCCTCATCAAACAAGTTTTCATTGTATTTGTTGGAGCCAAAGAAAAACAGCGACAAAAGTGTAAAAAGATTGTTAAAATGTGCTGTTTTGTCTAAAGTATAGAATCTAGTCTGGGGGAGGTCTAGGCCTTTTTACTGTCTATAGTTGATAATAAGAGGCTTTGTGAGGGAGCACTATGTCAAGCCTACATGCCTTGAAGAAAGAGTGCCTTCAGATTGGTGAGCCTGCTGAGCTGAAGATTGGCCATGTTGGAGATGCCATTGTGACTCAAATGCAGCTCCTCCAGATTACCCATCAATGGCTCCAGGCTGCCAAAGGGTACAGCTTCCCTTAAACACCAGAAAAAAGAAGAAAACCAAATGGTAACGTTTTTTACTGAAAGAAAAGCTCCTCTTGCTGCCTCATTTCACCTCACAGAACTTAAACCATCTAAAGGGAAAAAAAACACACAATCACTCCAGAATAATAAGGAGAGAGGCCACAAAAGGGTTGCATCAAACTGTATTGGTTTTATCTGCTACACTACAAAAAGGGTGAGAAAGTAATCACCTGGGCCTGGCTGTGTTTACCAGAGGGTCATACCTCCGTTATCACCCTTTGCATAGGTTAACGATCATATAACTTCAACAAAGCAGGGTTCCAGGCTGCCCTATCTCATTGCATATTTTTAAATAAATAACAATTGATGTATCTTAACGTGAGATAATGTCAGTATTGTACATTATCAATACTATATTAGCGTAGACAAGAGGGAATCATGGATTGGAGAGTGCTGCCCTCTCATGGTTACATAGAAGACTACTAAATAAAATCAACTTAGTACAAAAAAAACACAGAAATAACAACCATTATATGATAACTCAAAATTAAACACACACACACACACACTTTGAGTTGGTTTTCCAGACACCACCCACAATGGGCTTGTAGCAATGGTTGCATAATGATCAGGTAAAAAAGAAGAAAGAAAAGCTGTTTTGTTGTGTATAAAACCTAACAAAAAATAATAATAAAAAAAATAACACAATACAGAAATACACAGCTTGAAAAGAAAAATGCTTAATTGACTCCAACGACACACACACACACACACAAAAACACACACTCATTAATGGACATTTGTATCTACCCCTTTTGGACCAATGACTATTTGTTTTTATCATTTATTTTTTATCATTTAATTTCTTGTGTTTGAACTGTTTGATTCTCTGATCTGTGTTGACGAATTCTTCAAGATAACTACTGTTGTGATTTAGGGCTATACAAGAATACATTTAATTGAAATGAATCCCTCCACACACACACACACACACACACAAATACCTAATGCTCTTGGTTGGTGCCTGCTGGCCATAGCCGCTGGAGTGAACCTTGTTGTATAGAATCTGTCTGTTTGTCAGATGAGCTTGGGTCTTCAATCGCGGCATGATCGATTCAATGTGATTGTAGTTGAGATTTAGAGACTGTGAATAACCAAATTGTAGAACACGTGATTTTAAAAGCACTGTATGACGTAAGCGAAGCACTATGTTTGTATTGTATTGTATTGTATTACTTTTAGATTAGGTAAGTAGATGAGGCCAGAGAAGGAGGTCAGGTTGTTGTGGTCCAAACTGACACTTCGCAAGTTTTCAAACAAGTCGGCTGGGGAGAGATCAACCATTCTGAAAGAGAAGATGCCATTATTAATATAATGTGATTTTTTTCTTCTTTTTGTTCAGTAAACCAATGTCTTCACCGAATGGAATTAGACGCCATGGAGAGATGAGTGATGTCAAAGAAGTTTGAATGGCCCAGCTTTTCAGAGACCATGTCCGATGTTAATCTTCCACTGAACATGTCCTTCGCATTCTCGCATTCAGTTGCTTCCTACACAAAAAAATCAAGATTTTTTGTTTGTTTTTTATTAGTATAAATATTTGATGTTCTTTTTTATTAGTATATATAGAATTTTTTTACTAGTATAATTGATGTTATTTTATATTAGTATACTTTGTTATTTTTATTAGTAAATGTAATTGTTTTTTGTTTTGTTTAACTTACTAGTATTTTTTACTGTTTTTTTAGTTTTGCAATTTTTGTTTTATTATCTTTTTTACAAGTATTCTCTTCCCTTCAATATCTTTACTTTTTACATTTATTATGACCCTTCTTTACAAAAAAAAAGAAATGTTAATCATTTATCTTTTACCACAGCAATTCCATCCAAAGCTTTCAGTGAAGATATTTGAAAAACCACATAGATGCGATAGTTTTCCAGCTTTTCAACTAAAGGATTTCCATGCAGATCCAGAATGATGAGATCCTTTAAACCCTATTAAAAAAAAGAGCAAAACACAGATACTTGCTGGACATGAATGTGCCACAAAAACAAACCTTCAAATAAAAGATATCAGGAGTGGTGGAAATTAGGTTGTTGCCGATGTACAGCTCTACAAGTGACTGGACTCTCTGGATGCCATGCAGAGAAGTGATGTAGTTTTTGTCCAGAGAGAGAAATGTGAGACTGGGCAGCTGTAAAAGTGAAGCTTCCAAGTGCGTGAGTTGATTTTGATCCAAACTCAGTCTCTTTAACGCACTGAGCTTCAACAGACCTATGACAAACACAGGGAAATATAATTAATGAATGAATTGTGCTTACTGTTTAAACTTACAGATGAGTACAATTAGAATATCGTTCATTTATTATTCATTCATCTAGTGGTAATAAACTACTTCTGTAGCCACAATGACAGAAGCGAGGAAACCAGTAATAATAATAATGATAATAAATAGTACATATTAATTTGTGAAGCACTTTTCAAAAACAATGTTTACAAAGCACTGCACGGTCAGCTTTCTTAAACAATAAAAACAGCAATGAAAATACAAAGTCAACCATTACGTATTACTCAAGACCCTTTGTTTAGTGTGATGCTAATTGCTACAGCTTATAGTCCATTTCTGTCCAGTATATTAAAGGCTATAGCTTCATCAGTAATCTCTTTTATATCACATCTTAAAACCCACAGCCTTTAACTGCTAGTTTTAGACTTCACATGTTATATTTTACTGTTCCACTTCGTCTTTGTTTTGTCTTTCTTGTTGTCTGTCTGCTTTGTTCTGTTGTCTCTCTGCTTTTTAACCTAACTGTTTCTGACTGTTTTAATGCTGACAGTGCAGAGCTATGTAAATACTGTTTTAAAGTATGATACAAATAAAGACTTATTATAATCATTATTATTATTTTCCAGATATTCAAGTTTTCTGAGATTATTTGCTTGAGTTTTTACAAGCTGTGAGCCATAAGTATCAACATTGCAACAAATAAAAACTTAATATATCTCACTTTGCATGTAATAAGTCTTTATTATGTATTAGTTTTATATTCTAAGTTGAATAACAAAAGTGAATGGACTTTTGAACCATTGTTTTGGCTGTAGAGTGAAGTACCCCTTACCGGTCACCGTAGTGATGTAGTTGTTATTGAGAGAAAGTTCCTCCAACTTGAGACAGTTTTCAAGTCCTTCCACTTTTGAGATGTGATTATTATTAAACGAAGCCCACCGCAGGTTCACCAGTCCACTGAGATTAGATAACTTAGAAATCCCAAGGCCATCAAGGTTCAGAGCCGTTATCTCCAAAAAAGAAACACAAAGATATAAGAATAAATATACATTAAAGGGACAGTATGTACTCTTAGTGTTCTAATGAAGTCATCACAATAACAATCACTCTTTTCTTCCTGCCAGTGACACATGGAGCTTCTACAGTACACACTGATTACACAATCCACCTGCTGGGGTTTAGCTAGAACCGTAACTTTGTGTTACAAGTAAAACTGCGCATTTTTGTATCTGCTTTAATTTCAACAAATGTGACCTGCAATTTTATGAGTTTTACTCTCAAAAATATAAGTTATTTTTGAGAATAAAATTTCACTTAAGAAAATGGGAACACAAATGAGACCCTCATTCTGCTCTCTGATTGGGTAATCTGTTGAACATTATAAATTTAATAACTTTAATTTACAACTTAATTCAAGAAAGAAACACATACACACACACACACGTGCACATTTTGGAATCTGTCTATTATAAATCCTAAAAAGATGGACTAGTTGTACAGAAGTTGTAAAACAGACTTGCTTTTAAAAACAGGGCATCAGCTCACCTGTGACATCCAATCTGGCTGAAGACTTGTGTTCCATACATTAAAACTGAGGTCACATAAAAGGTGCGCTGTGGAGAGCAGGCTGAGGCTGCGGGGGCGTTTGGCTTGTGTAGAAGAGTGTACTAAAAGACAGGTCTAATGCCAAGGCATCAAAAACATTCTTACAAAAAGAGCTGTCTTTGCCGATCAACGTGTAGGCACACTGACACATTCAAGACCATCGCACCTGTGTGATTCTGGTCTCTGTAGCTCGAACAGCCTCCATCACGTCCTCCTCAGCGACCAGCTCATCATCCAGGTGTGTGAGGCTCTTCAAACCAGCCAGGATAGTCGTCCGAACTTCTTTTCTCTTTTGGACACAAGTTGGATACAGTACAGTTGATGTCTTTGTGATGATAGGTTAGTTTTGCTCTCAGTACCAACCCTTTTCCATGGGTTGTGCCTTGTGTCCAGTCTGAGCAGAGCCGGTGTGTGTTTGGTCAGGACGGTTGTATCATCTCTGGCCTTGGTAAGTTTGTTCCACCGCACATCGAGCTCTTTCAGCTTTGCCAGACCCCTCATTCCTTCAAGGGTGTTCAAGTGATTGAAGCTAGCATCCAGGAACTCAAGATTGTGCTGAAACGTCATGTTTTGTTCTCAAATTAAACACTTGGATCCAAAGTAAGAATATTTGGTGTATAATTGTAACTGAGGTGTTTACTTAAAGAGACAGTGTGTAATATGGACTCTTAGTGGTCTTATAAAGTAATTATAATTGCAATCCATCAGTTTGTTGGCAGAATCAAATATTTTACATGTAGTATTGATGCCATCCACCTGCTGGGGTTTAGCTTGAAACTGTAAAATTCGGTGTGTTACAAAAGACTACAGTTTTTGTATCTGCTTTCATTTTAACAATTGTGTGCATCTGAATCTTCTCTTATTTTTAGAGCCAAAATCAGCAAAATTTCACCAAACAAACCCGCATCCCAAATGAGAGCCTTATTCTGTTCTCTGATTGGACAATCTCCTTAAAAATACATATTTTGGATCATATGTACTGTATCAACTCTTTTGTTCAGAAAAAGTCAAGACCTATCATCTAGGGGCACATAGATGTAAAATGAATGAAAAGACTGTGGACGCTGGGATGTTTTTTTACCATGTGGCGGATGTCATCCAGTCGCGTGAACTCATTAAAGCTGATACAGAGGTGCCTCAGAGTGGTGAGGCGGGAAATATCCTTCAGCTTGCTCAAACTGTTGCCATGCAGGTTCAGGACCTTAAAATGTAATCCTTAAAAATCATTCATGGATTACAATGAATTATTAGTACATATATCAAAGAGAATAACGATACCTACTGTTATCTGACTGAAGACATTTGCCTGCGACACACTGAGCAGCAGTTTGTCATCTAAGAATAAGAGTTTGGGCTGTGGCTTCAGCACTGGCTCCATGTTGATCACTTCTCTGTCCAATGTTACTTCACTGGGAGACTCCGTTTCTGGGTTATGCAGAGTCTTGTCTTGATTCTGACACATGCATTATTCATAGTTGTTGATATGTGCATTAACTGCATGAAAATGTGTATATGTCTATAAATACAGAAAGACTTACTGTGGTGACATATTCAAAATAAATAATGTATTCTGGAAGAACGAGCTCATTGTCAAATATGAACCATTTTCTCTGTTGGCGAAAAATGTCATAACCGTGGGTACTGGCAGGGCTGGACGCTTATGAAGTAAACACAAACAGATGACGTGAAAAGCTTGTGTGCAAAAATAATACAGAAAGAGTAGTTATTATTAAATTATTACCATCACTGTCATATCTGTGTTTTATGTTTAGATACACAGAATGGGCTGAAGGGTAGCTGCTTTTTTGCACATGTTCACCATTTCTGACCGGTGTGCTGTTTCCTAGAAATACTTTTGAAACAAAAACCCAACCTGAATTCAACAAAGATAATGATTATTGTATGTGTGTCACAAGAAAAGTGAAGGAAAGACACGGGAAAGGCACCATGACGGAGAAGGCTGTCTTCCATAAGGTGACTGGAGTTGTCAGTGAGTTCTGACACCACACACTCGATCCGCTGCTGTTCACTTAGATACAGGCTGTTGGACAAAGGAACAGCCTCTTCTCTTCCTAGAGCCTGGTTATCACAATAAGTAAAATCAATGCAAAGCTTTCTGAAGTACATGTGTAAGTGCTATCAAATAACTTAAGTGTTAATTTGAACATAAAGATGTCTACACATTTCAGACACAGTTTTAAGAGGATTGAATGTTGAAAAATCTGATATTTTTGGTTATAGGAATAAACTAATATTAGTTAACAATTTAGTTGTGTTTTTCCATTATTTGGAAATACATTTGAATTGTCTTGTAGCAAATTTCATGCAGCATTGAATTTGAAATTTGTATGTGAAAATTTAAGACCCCATTTTAATAAAGTGCATCTTTTCCTTTTTTAATCTCTGGCTTCTAACACTTTGAATGTGGATTGTAAAAATAAGCAATTTCTCAGTTGAAATACAAAACAATGGAACTTCAATTAAAATATGGCTTTCTTTGACACATTTTTATTGTCAAAATATACTGAAAAACCTTAATCACAACAACAATATTCAACATGTTATGTTTGCAAAGAACTGTTTGCCAATTGCAACAGCTTAAGTCTCACAGTGACGATGAGGAGTCAATGCATTTATATAGATTTATATATTTGCATTTGAACTGAAATTGCTTATATTTTTTTGCCTGATGAAGTCTTGTTTTTCTGTTGCTGCTCATGTGTAAATAAACAGTTTGCAGGATATTCCTTTTCCTTTTACTAATTTCAACTTAATTTGTAATTTTGACGCCATAATGTAGCATAATACTTGAGAGATTAATTTATGTTTATGAGTTTGTGTAAACTCTGAGTCATCCAGATGACAAATGTTTTTATCATTTGTCATCTGACTCGGGCGAACAAAACATGAAAGAAAAGTATATGAATGCAACTAAAGTAGTGGGGAAGAAAAGCACTTTCCAGAAAATTGAAGGTGACAACGTCATATACATACTGTACATACCTTGTATTGTTCTGCTGTTTTGAAGCCATTCTCTACAATGTGTAAAATATCTTCCTTTTCAGACACAATCTTGGGGTTAGGGACATAAAACAAGTGCTCCAGTCTTCGTTTATAATTCCTAGTTCAACAATGCAGTTCTCAGTCTCTTTTGCAGTGAATACAGTATATTATTTCAAAGATATAACATACTGGGAGAGATATGAGGATTCCAAACTGAGCAGCATCTGAGTCTTCTCTTCAAACCGAATACGGAGAGCAGTGTTGTGAATTCTAATAACTTTGTTTATTTTAATTTCAGAAACATCAAAGTCCCTATAATCGGTGCGAGAGAAGCGCGAATGAAGGAGGTCACAGCAAGAGATAAACCTGTTAAAAAATAAATGCAAAGGTTATACAAATATTGTGAGTCACAGGTATCACCTAAGGTTGTAAATACCATGGATCCATAGGACAGCCTTCCTCAAACCGAATGTTTCCAACACTTTCTAGTTCAATCAGGAGAAACCGGGAAGCATATTCCATGCAGTTTGTGACATGAGCAACATCCCGCTCATGGAGGCTTTCCATTCTGAATGAAGGAACATGGGATAATGGTGGAAAACACTGACATTATGCATCAAACATGACCTTACTTGTGGATCTTTTTGCTCCAAAGTGCCAGTCTTTCTCTTATTGCATTCATTTTCAATAGGATCTTTTCTTGCATAGTTGAATCTAGACTGATGCTATTATTCTGACGTTGAGATTGGTCATCCTCTGAGGTTCCCTCCCTAAGAACCTCCTCTGCTCCTTCCCCATTCAGAGTAAGAACAGATGACATTTTGCCTGTCATTTGTGAGAGCTCACGTTCCAGCTGCACAAATACATAAGGGCACAGTGTAGTGATCATTATTCTTCTGTTCAAACTAAAATTAAAAACTGACTGTGGAGTACTTTTTTATATAAATGACTTAACGTCCGGATGCTTTCTTTGGGGATCTGAAGCATGGTTTGCAGTTTCTCCTTCAGTCTTTGAAGGGCCTCTGCCAGTGTCCTCTGAACCACACGCACACGCATGTTATAGTACATAATTTTCTTCAGCACGGTGGACTAAAAACAAAATACATTCTGCTAAGAATTTAAACAGACATACTTGTTGTAATATTATACAATTAGAGCTTACTTCAACCACTTCTTTGACTTGACTGCCTGACACATGATAAGTATCAAGGCAGAGGAGGCCAGGCATGTGATAAAAAACATGTGTTACATAGTTACAGAGAAGACAGACTGTATTAGGACCTGAAGTTGGGTCACTGAGAGCAAGCTCTGTGAGTTTTGATAAATGAGCAAGATAAGTTAGCTCCTGAGGAAGACAGAAATCAATAGATTAGACCTATAATAGCAACATGTATGTATTTTAAATCCAATTATTGTTTAAAACCAAATATGAGTATAAAACGTTTAATTAATTCATTTGAACTCACCTTAAAAGACTTTATTTGATTTCCAGAGAGGTTTAGATTTTGTAAGTTCACGTTAGGCTCCAAAACGCGTCCTGAAATTAGATTAAAATAGGTTAAATTTGAGGGTGCGTTCGCACTTATTTTGAACTCATTTATGTGACTGGTGGACCAGTGCACACTGAACAAAAATTCATGTAATTTGACCAAGTGTAAATGCATTAGCTACCAGCAATAGTTGGCATAAGTCTTACCAATTGTCTCAATACGGTTGTCAGACAGATTTAATTCTCTGAGGTTTTTTAGGTTATCAAGACCCTAAACAGGAAGTCAAACGCAGGTTCAAAAGAATACAGAATATAAACTAAATAGTCAACGTGAATGAAAGGTGAACTGAGAATATAGACCATTCCACAATGGACAGATGACCTGTATATCACTGATGCAGTTGTTGTTGAGCCACAGGACTTGGAGCTGGACCAGCTGTGACAAATTCTGTATTTTTATGATTTGATTGTCATAAAGATAAAGTTTCTTAAGTTGAAAACAACTCTCTAGTCCAGTAATATCCTGAAAACCAGATACACAAATATGTATTAGTTACTTTTGTAATATATGTTTAGTGTGGATAATACTAACCGAATAAAAAAGGAGAATATTTACCACAACATTACACTGAACAACCCATAGCTCGCGGAGCATTGTGCAGCTCTCCAGACCTTCAATAACCTCCACACTCTGACCTACTATTGTCAACTGACACAGTCTGGGGAAGAACGAAAGGCCGACCATGCGAGGGAAACCAGAGAAGAACGTCTCCAAGGAGCTCACTGATGTTCCTTCATTAGCAATTTTGTCATAAGACACACCATTGGCCAAACACTGTTGGGGAAATTTAAGGTTTCTGAACTGTTAAACTAAAATTAACTTGCACACAACCATATAAGGAGTTCTTTTCTCACCAATTCCTTGAGCACCTCGTCATCTCCGCGAAACTTGAGTTTTTCATTGTGTGTCTGTGCCATGATGTTCTTTGATAATACAGCCGGGGTCTGGTCACCGCTACCACAGCGTCACACAACATGTAAACAAATATATAGTGTATATATATATATATACACTATATATATAGCTTATTTTATCGGGTATTTACATATATGTAACTATTGTTTATGTAATAACAGTAAATAACATTAACCAGTTAGCTAACAAGCTACAAGAAAACGTCAACGCTTTTTTATCTCTTACCAGCAAAATATGCATGACTCTTGTATCCGGTTACACTCATTTGGCACTGGTAAACATAATTAAAGGAAATATTAACTAAATAGACTGCCAAAAGAGTTGGCGTCTTTTTCTGACTACAAACACATTGAGCGTTTGCGTCAGTATTCAGGCAGGCGTCCCGTTGCTAGGCAGCACAGGTACAAACACTGAGCGTCCACAAGGGGGCGTCAAACTACAACACATACAGGCTTTACAGGCTTGAGAATAACTTGAGAAATATGTGGTTTCATAAAGAAACAACTCAAGATGGCACAATAAATTGTACAGCAGTATTGCTGATTTCCACTCGTTGCTATATATGAATTTATGTGACAGACTAAAAACTAAAGGCACCCATGTTCAATTATCACCTGTCAAATAGTGGACTCTTTGTGCCCTTTGTATCTGACCGTGGCCCACATATCCCTCCAGTACCAACCCCAAGCCACACAGGCACCATGACGTCAGCTCTGGATCACAGAACTAAAACAATCAACCCTCACTCCACTGGCTTCCCATCGACCGCCTCGTCCGCGGTGTCGCCACTCCGCAGCTAGCAGACGCCAGCACGCACCGCGCTGGTCTGTGTTCACCCAGGCTCCATTTCATTTAACGACAACTGAGAACCCAGTCATCACAACCTCTCTCTGCAAACAGCACAGCAATAAGCATGTCTGCTCAGCCCGGTGAGGAGATAGGACCAGAAGGGAGGTGGTTTGGGGATGACTTTGGGAAGAGCCCTACGAGCCGGTTTGACGGACTGCGTGATGATTTTAATCCTGCAGGAAACGAAAGGAGGGACGACCTGGACCAAGACCTGGATCAAGACCGGGACTTGGCTTTTCGATCTTCTCTGGACCAGGGGACAAGGCCTGTTGCTATGGAAACTGCATCTACAGGTAAACGAGCAGTTATCACTTCACTATAGGATTATATCATTATGTGTCCACCCTGTTTATATAGCGTCTCTACCAGCGGGAACATGGTAGACAACAAGATGCACAGGGCTGTCGTATGTGCACTGTCTACGCAGGCGGTTTGTCTGTTCACATGAAACCTGATGTCAAGAAACTACTTACTTAGTCTTTTAAAAATCTAACTTCTTCAACAGTAGGAGTTCACTGCTCAGTATTTATAACTATGTTATAACGGATTTTAAGAAGCAGGTACAAGGCCTTTAGCCCACATTGGCCTGGGCCACAGCTATAGAACTTAAATCAGAATTAGAATCAGAATATTTTTTATTGCCATTGTAAGTAACAGAAAGTCACAAACTAGATATTTGCTTTGGCCCAAGGTGCAATCAAGTTGTAAGAGTACCAAGGAATGGCATTCATAATGTTTTTTGTATTTCTTGTTTCTTATTTGTTCTTTTGTACAGCTAATTTGAGTGTCCAAAAATTGCATATAAGTAGGATGTATTGTTATTACTATTATTATTAAATCTTCATAACATTTCATAAATTACTATACAAGTGATCCAAGTACACACAATAGACATTTAGCAGTGCAGTAAAGTGACAGTGGTGAGAGTAAAGTGACAGTAGTATAAATTATAAGGGTAAACATTGATTAAAAACATATTTTTCAGCTGGTTGATGTATTTGATTTGAATTTGAATTAGAGGAAAAGTCTGTCATGTCCTGTTGTGAGCTTTATCTGCTTTTGTGGGAACAGCACACTTGATCAGTGACCACTGTAGTGTCCACTCTCTCCTCTATCCAAGAAAGAATGGAGGCTTGTTTCTAACCCATGCTGGTCACGCCTGGCACAATTAACTAAACAATTATATGTATGTGTAAAGCTGCTGATAAGATACGTTGGTGGTAATTGCTTGTCAATAGCATCCACCAGAGCCATGTTGACATGCTCTCTGCCTACCAAAACACTCACATGAGGGAAAAGACACTCTTAACCAGGGATAATGTGGAAATACAAAAGAAATCAAGAGCAGAACTAAACCAGATTAGAAGAATGTTTTATTAAGTGCTTTTGTTATTTGGCCTTCCTTCCACTGCACTCACATGTTGAATTTATTTGGTTCTTCTGTTTACAAAGACATCTCCAGCAGGATTTTGGACAAGTGTGTGTGGATTTGCTGATGAATATGGAACATGTGGCACGGCGGCTGAGTGGATAGCACTCTTGCTTCTCAGCAAGAAGGTCCTGGGTTCAAATTCCAGTCGAAACAGGGCCTTTCTGAGTGGAGTTTGCGTGTTCTCCCCGTGTCTGCGTAGGTTTCTTCCGGGTACCCCGGTTTCCCCTACCACTAAAAACATGTACAATAGGTCTGGCATGTGCCTCCTGTACTGGCGACCCCGCTCCCACTTTTGTGTGGAGTGAGAGACAAATGTCCAAAAATAACAATTGTAAACCGCTTTGTGACTCTTGTCTGTGAAAGGCGGTTTATAAATAAAGATTATTTACTTACTAGAAATGATTTATTTCAAATTTGCACAAGACACATTCAAATAATATACTCACAGAAAAATACAATAAATTTACATGATTTGAAAGGGGATTTTTATCTTAATTCACTCAGGCTTTATCCATATCTCACAAAGATAGAGGCAGATAGAAGCAGACTCTACTCTAACATAGTGCATTCAGAGAGCTCAGCCACGTTTCCATAGGGGATTGTACTGTATAGTACTATGTGTGTGTGTGTGTGTGTGTTTGTACCCATACATACATACCGTACGCTCCACTGTATACAAGCTTCTTAAACATTAACTAATTAATTTTAATAGCAAACAGTGTGAGATAAGGTTTTGTTAGTGAATTTAGACTATATCCATAAATATGCCGCCAGCAGAATGTGAGTGTGCCAGGAACAGCAGTCTACAGAAGGAGACAGCTCCATCAAAAACTCTGCTTTTATTATATCAATAACTCCATTAGTGTTGACCTCATGGTTCACGACTCGGGGGATTCATGATGTCATACTAGGGCTGCCAATAACAATATGTGATAGAAACTAAATTGTGATCTAGATTCTTTGACAATCTGCAAATGTCATCCTTGTAATGTGGTTTGGTAGACTCTTTTTATATTAATGGACGGTAAAAGTCCACTTTTAACACTTTTTCCACTTTGTTGAGTTGAGCTGGATTTATTCAGTTATGGTGTAAACTTTCTTTAACTGTTGAAGGAAATGAGAAAATATTTAAAAGAGTTTCCAGCTAATTTACTAATTAATTGATTACTTGGAATTGTTATTGAGTTGTTCTACTCAAACAACCAAAAATCCCAATGTCTGTATTTATTTATTTTGTTAGCGTGCCCCCCTGACTAAGCTCCATCAGCTGTTGATCTCTCGAGCTGACGATGGAGCACACATTCCTACTTCCTGGTATGTTTATGTGAACAGTAGAGAACGAGAGAGAGAGAGAGAAAAACGTGCAGGGAAATACACAGGACATGTTTTTATGTGATTAGGACTATTGTAAGAGCAGTTTATGAACGTATAATTTTGATTCAATTTTTAGTAGCCATAGGAAGCATGTTTATTGTCAAAATTTGGATTTACCAAAAAGCTTTTATCATAACGAGTCAACAGTGCATTAAAATACCTCATCATTAAATTGTCTTGTGTCCAGGTATAAATCTATCAATTAATCTTTTCATATTGTTAGGCTTTACAAACATGAAAACTTGCAGCTTTAGTTTTCCTCGGCCTATGTAGTGCGGTTTATATGGAGGTATGCTTAATAGTCCAGCAAGCACCTTAATGTCATTATTTGCCCTATATCATAGCGATGAGTACACTCTAAAATTACTCTTTGGTTGGGTCTTTATTTTCGTGTCTTTTGCGATAAAGTGAAACAGCATGCGGTCCAGTTGGATTTAGATTGACAGCTTTAAAACAAAGTAGACAGGCTGCCGACACTTGGTCTGGATCCACCCACTTGCCTTCATTCAACTGTCAGCTAAGAAAAGTACCATCCAAATGACGCAGCACAACTCTCATGGAGCATCTGTGTATTCTTAACCTCTCGTAAGAGTAAGTAGTAAATCCTGGATCGTCATGACTCTCAAAAAGGCTGTTCCTGTATTGCTTTTCTATGATTTATATTGTGTGGTCAATTATTTGGGCTGATTTAAGTTATTAATGAGAAGAAAATAGCTGCTGAAGAAATGTATAGATTTAAGTTCAGTTTGTTTTCCATTTGCAAAACAGGAAGGAAAAACCACTAAACACATACATGTGTTTAGTGGTTTGTAATGAATCAAATATAAGTTTAATGTCGTAAGTACGTAAATAATCTTTTGAATAATATTTTAATTTCCCGAGTTGCATCTGTATATAGGGCCACTGTGGCTATAGAAGTATCAGTTTCTCTTCCCCAATGAATAAGAATAATTGTTGAAGAATAAAAATGTACCTGCATAATACCATCTTTGGGCCAGGCCTTTCAATTTTTTTTTAGTTGCTTGAAAAACCTCCACAACAGATTTCTGTAAAGATCAAACATGAATTAGTTATGATAAAATATGCTGTATTGTGTTTGAGTTCCAGGGCTGTGATCCCTCTGGTTTGGATTGTGGAGCTATTTACTGTGAAAAATCAGATATCAGATAATACATTCCAACCCACTTTATTTGTATGGCACATCCGACACACAGATTGTTTCCATAGTGCTGCACATAGATGTCCGGACGTTTTAGTTGGAGGGCCACTTAAGTTCACCAGACTTGTTCAGGGGCCGATTAAGAAAAAAATATCGCCGGGGATTATAAAACTGTTTTGATAAGATTCGTGATGTTTTGAGCTGCTTGAGTTGCTATGACGGAGCTCAAGTTGGCTGAATGACATCTCACCAGCTCCATTAACCGAATGTTGTTACGAAAACAAATGTTAGAATACAAACTAGAAACTTGCAATGGCTGAAGCCATTGCGATTGACTGCGGAACAGATCTAATGTGGAAATCTGCTAAAAAAAATCCTTGAAATCCTTTAAAAAGCCTTGAAACTGTTAAAATACTTGATAGATATTTGAAACTCCTGAAGTCCTTGAAATTGTTGAAACCTTTAAACTCCTGAAATCCTTGAAACTGTTGAAACATTGAAACTCCTGAAATCCTTGAAACTTTTTTAAACCTGGAAACTGTTGAAAGTGTGGAAACTCCTGAAATCCTTGAACCTCCTGATATCCTTGAAACTGGTTAAATTCTTAAACAGCTGAAATCCTTGAAACTACTGAATGTATTGAAAGTGTCCTTGAAACTGAAAAATCCCCTCACCGCTGAAACAATTTGGTTCCTGTAACTAAGGAAACCTGGTCTGTGGTCATTATCTGGTGGTGGTCTGAGTCTTCGTTTGGGTCTTGGTCTGGTGGTATAATGCAACCTATTAGGTTGCATTATACATGAAAAAACCCTATTAAGTTGCATTATACTGGTTTACATGAAAAAAACCCTATTAAGTTGCATTATACTGGTTAACATGAAAAAAACCCTATTAAGTTGCATTATACTGGTTTACATGGAAAAATCCCTATTAAGTTGCATAATACTGGTTTACATGGAAAAATCCCCATTAAGTTGCATTATACTGGTTTACATGAAAAAAACCCTATTAAGTTGCATTATACTGGTTTACATGAAAAAAAACCCTATTAAGTTGCATTATACTGGTTTACATGAAAAAACCCTATTAAGTTGCATTATACTGGTTTACATGGAAAAATCCCTATTAAGTTGCATTATACTGGTTTACATGGAAAAATCCCTATTAGGTTGCATGATTACACTGAAGTCCTTGAAACTGCTGAAGTCCTTGAAACTGCTGAAGTCCTTGAAACTGCTGAAGTCCTTGAAACTGTTGAAGTCCTTGAAACTCTTGAAATCTTGAAACTGCTGAAATCCTTGAAACTGTTGAATCCTTGAAACTGTTGAATCATTGAAACTGTAGAAATGTCTGAAAGAGCTGAAGTCCTATTAAAATGCATGGGCCTATTAAAATGCATTGCAGAATTCTCAATGCAGATTTTTGTCCGATTGCGGAAAAACCGGAAATCGCTGAAGTCCCAAAAGTAATAGCAATAATCTCCCAAACATGTGGAACGTTTTGATGTATAACTTGTGGAAATTGTTGAAAATGTGAAAGCTGTGAAACGTGTCAAAAAAAATGACGGAATAAAGAAATACAAAACCAATGGTTGACTGCGGAAGGTTCCGCAGTCAATCAATAAAGCTGAACTCTAGCTTTGAGGTTGAAGTTGGCTGGATGACATGGCAGGCAGAGGGCCACATGATATGACACAGAGGACCGCAATTGGCACACAGGCCTTAGTTTGGACATGCTTGACATAGACTTTTTAAAACTATTGACCTTTAATGAACCGGGAAGTACAGGGGAGATCTGGCCCCAGAGAGAGGGGACAGGAGTGAGAGTGGGGAGAGTGTTATGGGGACTTTTTGTTGGTAGGGGAAACCGGAGAACCTGGGGGAAACCTACGCAGACACAGAAAGAACATGCAAATACAACACAGAAAGGCCTGGAGGTAGAATCGAACCAAGGACATTAGCAATAAATTCACGTCTGACAATTTAATGTTTAAAATCAATATAGAAAATAATGAAATTAGCTATGAATAAAAAACAAATAGATATAGATACATGATATGAATAAAAAGGGAAAAATCAATGAATAAAAGATATACCAATGCAAAGACAACAGAGGACAAGGCACCTCAAGCAGAAATAAAAGCCAGAGAGATAAGGAAATGTGTATTAATCTAACAATGGGGACATTTCCCATATTTGAGCAGAGAATTATCATGGATTGTCTGGAGTTGTTTTACAAGGTCACGCAGTGAAAGAGAATCCTTGAAACAGGAGCCAGCAGTGACAGCCTCATCAGTTAAGAACAACCACTCAGCGCTGCTGTAACAATAGCCGTAATACTTAGTGTCTATCAGGCCAATGAGATCCAAAGCACTGTGGCACAATGCTTTCGCTATACGCTATTATTATGACTTTTTTATTTATACATTATTCTTGTGAATGTGTGTTGTGAAGAAATCAGAACACAAACTAATTAGAAAACAGTTATCTTTTGCATCATTGTAGAAAGTATGAGTCACTATTTTATGCTTAAAGTGATAGTCTGTAACTCTAAATTAATTACAAATTTTAAGAATTGTAGTAAATTGACCTCCTGGCCTTAAATGTTGATATAAAATTAGTCATTTTATGAATTCTAATATTACGGGTAAGTCCCGCCCTCCCTTCTCTTAGCTATAGCTCAGAATCCATGGTGCCGTCCATGTTAACCAATCGAGTCATGCTGTCAATCATCGCACTCGTGCTCGTAGCTGTGCGCAAGGCTCAAGCCTTTATAGGCTCTGGAACTTCATGAAAATTGAACAAAGAATTCTGAACATCTGTGCTGAGCTACCCATTTATATACTGAACCTATATCCATAATCAGATCCTCTGCAGATGTCCTATAATGTTAATTGCCGCGATCGTTTTTTGTGTGCATTAAAACAATTTTTTTCATGAAAACTTTAACAAATAATCCTGAAAACCTCCGTGCATGTGTATTAATAATGTATATGTATAATGTGTTCTCTCATTAACATTTAAATGTGATACGGAAACGTAGGTGTAGACCAATCAGAAAGGAAGGGGGAGGGAGCTTGCGTTGTTTTTTTTCAAATCAACTACCTCTCTCTCTCTTTCTGACAAACTGCAGACAATCACTTTAAGGCTGAGAGCTGATTGGCTGAGGGAGGGTGGTTCCATCTTTATAACCTTTCCGCCTGAAAATCTGACCTTGATGGGAGGTTACCATTTAAAAAGATGTGTAAGGCTATTCTACCAACGCTTTGTAATTTTTATTATCAAGATTATTTAGTAATTCGACATTAAATTGCTTTTATTTAACTTCAGTTTTAGATTTGTTTTCAACTAATGAAAATGCAAGAGTTACATTCTAAATAATAATAATCAGACATAAGCAAAATCCGCCAAGTAGCAGCTATATATTTTAAGGCCTTGAAACTTCTCACCACACACTTACATTTCTATCCACCTGAACTCACGACTGCTCAGCAAAAGGTGAACCATGTCATAGTGAAACTGTATTACTAATTTCATCCTGTTTTTACTATTTGTTCTTTAATATTTTGCAGTTCGTTTCTCAAGAGCTTTAGCTTCAAAATTACGTACCAGTCAATACCCCTGTGTACCCCTAGGGGCCCATGTACCCCCGGCTGGGAAACACCATTACAGTATATGCTATAATGAACATTGTGGATCTAGAAGCAGCAGCAGCACAGAGGAGCCCATAGAGGAGGATGTGTCTCTCTCCTCATGCCCATGACCAGCCCACAGCTGGATCACACTATTTTTAGCAGCACTCACACAGCAGCACTGCTCTGCTCAGACAAGGACAGGAGCCATAACACCACATCCAGGTCATATTATATCTACGCCTTTGGTCAGGAACCTCTTCACTGCTCTTGCTTCAGTGTGTTCCCACTTCAACTCTGCCTTCATCGTAAGGCGAAGGCAGAGTCATAAGCAAGAAATAGATGATTCTTTATTAAAAAATATGTATACTCAGATTTATAGTAATTAGTCATTTTAATATTAAGTTTTGGCATTGTGGCAAATCTAATTGAGATATTTTCGACAAACATTATGGTTGCAATGACATTTTTTCACATTATAAAGAGGGAAGCATGAAGATAGGAATGAAAAAAGGTAACATATGCTTTTGAGATTTAAATGGAGGATTCATTTTTGCATTCAATTATGTGCTTACTTCTTTTGGATGTTTTACTTCTAAACTAATCGGAGAAGGAGATGCATTTCAGCACAGGTTTCTAAAGGTCTATATTACAGGATTAGCTGCTTTTATAAGATGTTTTCAAAGCAGTGAAATAATAACAGCCTTTGATTTTCTAATTGTGATCATTGCTTTATTATTATTTTGTCTATGTAAGCATGTAGGCTGTGATGGACCCTCACACTAACCATACATTCAGAACAGAGTGAATAGTGAGAGTAAACATCATATTACTGCTGCGTCAGTGCCCCACACCACTCCACTCCACTCCACCAGAGCAAGAGAAGCACTCAGGGTAGGGTTCAATTAACTGAACAAATACTGTATAAGGATGTCAGAATAATATCTATTATAAAGGGCTTTGTATGACCTTGGTCTGTGTGCTTTAAAAAATGATTTTTAACATACTTGATTATTAACATACTTATTATTCCCCTCCCTACACATATTTTGTATTTTTTATTATATTATTCTGTGGACATCTAGTTATTCGACTAAGAAGGGAGGACACTACTGACCGTTTCCTGTCACTTGGCCAACTAACACTTAAGGCTCTTTGACATGCCAACGAGATCACCTGGATTGCAGACGAGTGAGACGCTGAAGGCGAGGTGGATCATCTTGGACAGCTTAAGATCATGAGCATCATTAACACTTTACAATAGCCTGGGACTTGACTGTCTCATCGTAAACATTTATGAAAAAAAGAAAAGTTAAGAACAGGGGAAACAGCAACGACTCAAGTTTCTGATCTAAACAAACATCTCCAATCAGCTCTCAGCCATTCCAGCAGGCGTGTCATGACCCACTGTGTGACGGGGAATGGGGGGCGGTTCACACATTTCATGGTTTGTAGTCCATGCAGGCGGCCCAGTCAGTCTGTTGTTTTTTTAGTTCAACCATGCCTGAAGGAGGACACATCTCGAGATGTTACCAGGAGCAATGTGACAGCCGGACTGATGTCAGCGCCCTCAGGAGGCGTCCAGAACACAAATATAGCCCACATGCATCTTATGGCTTCAGGTCCCTTGTCCGCTTGTTTGTATCAAAATGCACTTGAAAAAGGTGTATGGTCAGTGAGTGTTTGGACCTGTGTCTTGTCTGAGTGTTTGTTGTGTTCTATGATCGAGAAGGATTGGAGCCAATCCAATCGCTTTTCTTTTTATTTTATCTGTTCATTGCAGTGTATTTCTTGTGTTAGGATTAGATAGCGTTTATTGTTGTCTTTTCAAGCACATAATTACTGTATGATAAATCAAAATGACACATTTGTACTTTTCTGAGCTACTGCATCCAAGTAATAAGTCTAAGTTTGAAATATTATTATTATTATTCTCTATCTAAAGTCTATCACTTTGTTCCTCATAGATGACCTGATGTCTGAACTTTTCAAGAAGGGTTTGGCTGATGATGACAGAGATGTGTACACCTCCCTGATGTCCAGTCAGACCTACACGTCCAGTTACGAGTCCTCCCGTGTGGCCGTGACCTCCAAGACTTCCACAGATTACAGCTTCAGCGCCAAGAAGGACCTGCTGGACGACATGCCCAAATCATACAACTACATGGACATCAGTCACGGCGAGGAGAGCAAGGCAAAGCACAGCTACCTGGACTCTCCGGTACGCGACACTCTGGGAGGCTATATGGACAAAACCCCAAGGCATGGCAAGGAGGAAGAAGAGGACGAGGATGAGGAGGAAAACCTGGGTCCGGCTTTAGGCTCCCACTCCTTCCCGTATGTGGAAGAGCCGTCGGATGAGGAGATGTCTGACTATCGCTCGTACAGGAACCTGGGAGGAACGCCCCAGGCCAGTCCCGTTAAGATTACCCTGACTGAATCTAAGCTGGGACAGGTCAAAGAGGAGCCCCAGCAGCACATCATCCCAACTGCTGCAGACACCGACAACGTTCTGAGCGTGGGGGTGAAGGGGGTCCCCACGGTCACACTGTCAGAGCCAGAGGACGACAGCCCCGCCTCTACTCCCAACGCATCACCCACACGTGAGTAACAGGCGACAGGAGAGGCCTCATTATCAAGGGCTGTTATTTTGGTATTATAATAGTTGTTTAAGATCCCAAAAGTTAAGTGATTTTGGGATTTTTGTACACATTTGACCAAAATAAAGAGAATAACTTCATAGAGATGACTTTCAGAGACTGCCGACACGATAACCGTGACACAATACAATCTCGATACAGGGATCTTTCGATTTGATACAATATATTTTGAGCGGCTCAGTAAAACCTCTCATCTATTGAAAGATCCATATTAACAAAAACGGTGAATGAATATTGAGTTATATCAAAAATATAAGAAGTATGACGTATTGTTTTGGCCGTTAAATTGATAATGCGACTTCTTACTGCCTTTCATGTTTTGGATGGAAAAATAATATCTTTCTGCCATTCCCTAGTCTTCAACCAGAGAGAGGAGTGTATTTGGTTTTGGTTTTTTTCTGAAATTGAAAATGACTGTCTGCAAACACATTCATGTGATTGTAAAGATAAGATAAGAGATCCTTTATTCGTTCCACAGTGGGGAAATTTCAAAGACCCTGATTTCACCTGGGAGACAACCAAAACTAATTTAAATTTAGAACTATACTGAAGACGGAAAACTGCCCGAGTGTGATGTCATAGGGATACAATGACATCATACTTAGACAGGAGCTTTTACACAGAATGGGCGGAGTTTAATGTTTGTGGATGGATCTGAAAACAACTCCAGGTCTGTGCTGATGAGGATTGTTTGTATACAATATATATATCAAAATCATTTTTAGCAGATTCCTTTATCTTACCAGTTGGGTTGTTAGGTTAAAAATGAATAATTTATTTATTTAATTCTGCTGTCATCATCAAAGTCATTTAAACCTCTTCTCAGCTGTTTAAGTCTATGCGAAGTAAAAAAATATATATACATCAAACTGCTCCTTCAGTAGAGCACACACGAAGGGGGGAGGGGCTAAAATGAGTGGGATTCAGCAGAGATTCATGTTTTGGTGCAAATAACAGATGTTTCCAGATTAAGATGGTAACATATAAACATTTGTGCATCTATTTGTAGAAGGATCTTGAGGTTGGAAAAAAGGGTTTTGCGATATTTAAATATTATATCATAAGGAGTTGTCTGGTCACTTTGTAAGGACCTTTATGGGGCTTTTTGACATCCACCCAAACCATTCTCAGTTCTGCTCAAAAGGATCAAAAAATAGCTGAAATGCATACTCGCTGACCTGAGCAGAAACTAAAAAACAGTGCAGCGGTCACTGGTTTTCAGCCTGAAAGTTTGAAAAATGAAGATATTAGCATACTAATTAGTTTAATATTGCACAAAAACAGTATAAAACAAAGAAATTATGAAAGAATTATCTGAGGCATATACAGCCTCTTCTGCACACATTTACATTTATTTGTATACCACAGTTCATAAATAAATAATCACCATACATTGAAAAGAGTAAAGATTAAATACCTCAGTTGTTCTTGTAAACAGAACTGTTTTAACAGATTTTAGCTGCATAAATCTGAAATGCTGCATCCCCATGTTTAGTTCTGTTTCGAATGCCTCGATTACTAAATTTATTGACAGCTATTTTAATAATCAATAATTTGTTATTCATTTGTTTTACTACTACTACATTGACTAAAGTGTTGTATTTGTCTGCACAGATAAAGAGTTCCCTGTGAAGCCGGCTCTGGGCTCACAGGACGGGAGCAGTGCCGAGAGCGGAGACTCCGAGATCGAGTTAGTGTCAGAGGAGATTCACAAGACGAGCACAAACCCGTTCAGCCAGGCCCCCAAGAGCCCCCCCAAGAGCCCCTTTGACCACCCCGCACCCCCTAAAGCAGCACTGGGCCTGGGCACTCCCACCTACAGCATCCTGAGAGAGGAGAGGGAGGCGGAGCTGGACACGGACCTTTTCATCGAGTCCGCGTCTGAGGAGAGCCCCAAAAGAGAGCAGGGGTTCGGGGGTCCTAAGCACATCGGGCCGTCCCCCCTGGTCCCCGCCGCCACGCCACCTCATCCAGTCACAGAGCCGGTCCGGTCCCTGAGTCCAGACAAGCCCAAAGTCCAGGTCAAAGCCGAGGAGGAGCGTCCCAAAGCGAAGCCCCCGACAGCCGCAGTGACCCCCGAGGTGAGGGCCGGCAAAGCTCCAGAGGCCGAAACGCACAAGGAAGACGTGAAGAAGACTGACATCGCAGTCATCTTCAAGGGATTCAGCAAACAGAAAGGTAAACAAGTTCAGATTTTATTTAGGGACGCTGTGTGAGGGTCCAGATGGTGGGGAAGTCGTTGTTCTTAGTGAGAGAAGGATGGAGCGTGTGCAGTGATGCGGTCGCTGTATCAGACTGAAGAGAGAGCAGCGTCTGCAGTCAAAGCTCGCAATTTACCACTTCAGCCTACGTTCGCACACTCACCTCTGGTCATGAGCTTTGGGTAATGACTGAAATAGAAATCCTCTGCAGAGTGGCTGGGAGCTCCCTTAGAGATATGGTGAGGAGCTCAGTCATGCGGGAGGAGCTCGAAGTAGAGCCGCTGCTTCTCTTGAAAGTCCTGTTCCGGGTGTGCTCCACCGGAGGAAGATAAAATGTTGGAGGCGCTATGTCTCTCAGCTGGCCTGGGATTGCTTTAGGATTACCCCAGATGAGCTGGAGGAGGTGTGTGGATAGGGAAGTTTGGGCATGTGGAAGAAAAAAAGTGGAAGAAAATGGATGTATGAATTTGGGTTTTTTTGTTGAATGGACAAAACAAGATTCCTCTTAGAGTGCGGGTGCATGGAGGGTCTTTGCTGATCAAGGACTTTTTATTCTTACATCAGTCTGATTTCCAGTCTGTCTTCCAGTTTGTTCTTTCAGTTGATGCAGATTTTGTCTCATTAAACTGCATTTGTTATGTGCGTCACCTTTTATTCAGAGAAACCATCCATCTATTTTCTTCCGCTTCATCCGTTGCCAGGTTGCGGGGGCAGCAGTCTAAGCAGCGACGCCCAGACTTCCCTATCCACACACTTTAATGAATAAACTTAAATGTGCACTTTTCCATGGAGATGCTTTTGTTTTGCCTGGAATTGCGTAAAACAAGCAGAACAGTCCACCACAAAAATTCTGACATTGAGAGAAGATGAGTACGTTTACTTTTCACTGGGTGTGGTGTCCCTGGTGGTAGACATTTTGCAAAGAAGAATTGGATTGAAAAATGTGAAAATGATGAGAATCTTTTGCTGTGAAATGTATTTCAGAAGCCTGGCTAATCTTTATCTGAGGATGTTTGTCAGTAAGGACATTAGTAGCGGAAAATTGTGTCGACGCTGTCTTGTTTGTTTTTTATTTTGGAGTGGATATGGAGAACATTTTCTGGTTGATTGACCCCCTCTCTCCCACTCATCCCCTCCCCTCTCGGCAGAAGGATCTAGAAAAGCAAAGCAGGTCACTTGTGTTTGCCTCCTGTGTTCCAGTAGAGGGCGCACCACACAAATCATTCCCCACTGGAGGCGATGGCACATAAGACAATATTTTCAAAGTGTCCGCCTTCTCCTCCGTTTCCATGGTGACCGTGAGACTGGCCATGCTGAGCCTTGCTTGAAGAACAGACGGAGCAAGGTGTGGTCATTATGAGAGCTATCTGATGTCATCATTGCTCAGTGGCTGATGTTAAGTTTGGATACCCCCAAATGTATTGTAACAGGGAAATGTTCAGTGCTTATGAATTATTCAGTCAAAAGCACTCTGAAGTCTAAAATGAGATGGAGTGGAAACAGCCATTTCCTGAGTTGTATGGCGAGACAGAAAAAACTGAGATGGAGGTGTGGTAGATTATCACTCAGTAACGTGGGCTTTGGTCAAGCGAACCTCTGGAAAATAAATTGATACGATCAAAGGGAATAGTTATGAATTTCCTTTTAGATTCACACAGAGGGACGCTCATGAACAGCATCCGCCCTTCCTCAGACCAAACACATATACATATGTCTATTCTCCTTGTATCCTAAACATTTGTGCTTTTGCCCTGGGAGTGTCTGTGCCCTCCCTCTGACACCCCCAGGCTCTTAATCATTGCTCTGCAGCAGCACTGTGGCGTTAGCTCTTGGAACACCCTCCCCCATCATTGTGGACTCAGCAGCATCAGCGCAGCCTCACACCATCAGTAAGCCCGTATCTCTGCCAAAGCTCTCTCCTCCCTCCTGCTCTCCGTGTGCCGTTTGCGTCTCTTTTCACCATTCATGCCTCTCGTAGAAGAGTGAGGGAGACGCTGGTGCTGAGCAGTGAACGACGACTCCAACAGAAGAACAGAGCGAGCAGACGGAGATAGCAGCATGCAGGCCACTGCAGACAGCAGCAAGAAGGAATGCTCATGGAGCAGCTGGAAGGGCCAGGGTACACTTTTGTCATCTATGCTCATGTGTTTGTGCTCAAGCTCTGTGTGGGGGAGCAGGGCGAGCGTCTGTATGGTGTGCATGATATCAGGCCTGCGCCGCTCTGTGGCGTAGACAGTGGAATGTATTTGGGAGCATGTCTGTTTGCTGGTAGCTGCTGTGACCAAAGGTGTGGCTAGTCTTTTGTTAGCATTAGGAAAGAAGGGTTCAGTCTCTGTTTTGTGTGAGGAGGCGGCTGCAGCATCAGGACCGACCTGACAGACCATCTCCATGGTAACCAGGGCACACCCATCCTCATTACATCAGCCTCTGTGCTGCTGCCATGGCACTAAGCAGTCTTCATCCGGGGCTTTGAGACACACTGTACATGCAGAGAGCTGGAGAAGATGGCGACTTACACACGCACTGTTGTTTTTGATGATACTGACCCGCGAGCTGTTCCACAGCCCTGTGGAGAGCAGTGACGTGTCCTTACTGTGTATGTATGCCATCGCTTGGAAGAATCGCTGAGTCACAAGCCTTTGTTTGCCCTGATGCAGCATCAGCCTGCACCTGATCATTCTCTGGGTTTGGTCATCGCCCTTGAGCAAAGAGCTCCCTTATAAACACTCTGATCATGATTGATGTTTTCTCATCCCATACGTCTTGTTTAGGGACACACTACCTGGAAACATAGGACAAATAGCACATATGTCCTGCTAGCACATCTGCAAGACTTCTACACTGACTTCTATAATCAAAGCTGTATTATTCTTTAGAGCTTAACAATAGAAACCTGCACCTGCAGAGACTTTGTTTCCCCAAACACTCACTTCACAAGAGTTTAATCTAAGTTTCTGTTGGATAAAGCTTTTACTGATAAAGGCTGAAATTAAAGCATGACTTAATAATAAATAAGAATTAAGGAGGTTTTTGGAAAATCACTTCCACAAAACAAATAAGACCATGTATTTCAAATCACAATTGGCCTCAGCGACTGCAACGACGATAATCTAGGGAAAGATCACTGTGAAGAAGATGAAACAGCACATTGTGATTAGTTTTATCAGTAAAACAGGAGTAACCATGGTTACTGCATCAGACGGGTTTCTGTGGTCAAGGCAGAGGGCGGGACCTGAGGGCAAATGGGCGTCACCAAAGCTGCTCCTGTGTTTGAGACGAAATGTGCTTCTCCCATAACTCCACCCACCGGTCCTTCCTTCTCACAGTATCCCACTGTGATTGGCTGCTGTGGGTGTGGCCCCACCCCTCATTTCAGACAGCCCTTCATTGCTCTCCTTTTGTCTGTGGTTATAGCAGCTGCCTCTCTCTGTTTTGCCATGGGAGCCACAGGTCAGTACTTTGTCTGTTGTTGTCATCTTGTGGCGTGTGGCTTTGGTGTGTGCCCGTCAGGACTGGGGGGCTGTGAGAGAGGGCAGAGCTAAAACAGTCCACACAGGGGGCTACTGCCTTGGCAAGTTCTTTCTCTCTTACTACATTATAGTCACTCCACAATGATTTCCACAAGATGCCCTAGCTCAGAGTAAAAATGGCTGTCACCACTATGCTGCTTACTGCTTCACATCTAAAATTAGAGCTGGACGGGCTGCAGGCCACAAATGAAAAACCCAGGAGAGCTGGAAGACAAAGAGAGATAGAAGAGAATGTGCTTCTCTCTTACACAGGCTGCAGGAGTGACACCATTGTGATTATTACAGACGCTTTGTGGAAAGGTTCTGTGCACAAACTTTTGGCATGTCTTATCCTGATTTAGAGCTTTCAGTTGTGGGGGTGACAGGATATTGGGGTATGTGCTATAATGACAGCATGGCTCACATTTCAGAGGCTGCAGAGACACCTCGGATGCCCGGTCACCCCTCTGCTGTTTGTGCAGGTCACTCTGAGCTGTTATCAAAGAGCTGATAAGGTTCTGTTTGTGCTTTGGGACATGATCACAGGTCCCATACACAGCAGCTGGAAGTTTACCTGTGTGTGTGTGTCGTGCGTGCGTGTGTTCGGCGTGTGTGTGTGTGTGTGTGTGAACAGGGCAGGTGTACCACTGTGTGCTGACTGCTTGGTAATACATGGATAGAAAAGGTCGAACTGCTTACATAGATATCTTCTACAATAACAAATTATAAAGTTATGGAAGTCCTTTCTTGAGCCACCAGGTCTTTTGGCCTGAGGTTAAACCCGGTCTGCATTGAGCATTAACTGACTGTTTCTTTGTGCCACATCAGTAAGGAACCTTCCATGACCGGAAAGAGTATGACGATTCAAAACCTTGGTCCTAGTCCTGTAGGTCTGAAACAAAACCAAATAATTTTCACATAAATATACTCAAACAAGTTGAAATTACTTGGAAAGCAAACATTTCTTGATTTCAGTGGATCTGACAAGAGAAGTACATGTATTTGCTTTTTAACAAAACTTTTCTTTATTCCACATAACCATTCTAGTTTAAACCCATTCAGTTAACCAATATTTTTTTCTTTTTTTTAATGTATAAAACATTTTAAAACATGACAGAGTCTACAAGTCAAATCTACACAGATCAAGACAATAAGTCAGTAACATACCTGTAGTTTCCTGCACACGTAAAATCGCTCTCTTTTTTATCGTGTTGAATGTTGTAAAATGGACCTGGTGTTTGTTTCCATAGCGATGGACCTGCTGTACTGGAGGAACATGAAGCAGTCAGGGGCGATGTTCAGCAGCGCGCTCCTGCTTCTCTTCTCCCTGACCCAGTTCAGTGTAGTCAGTGTGGCTGCGTACCTGGCCCTGGCCGCCCTCTCCGCCACCATCAGCTTCCGGATCTACAAGTCTGTGCTCCAGGCCGTGCAGAAGACTGACGAGGGCCATCCTTTCAAGTGAGTGAACGCGGGCTGCATCCCAATTTTCACTGCCCTTTACGGTAATCCCTTTTACTTGGTTTGCCAAATGTATTTACTTTTTTTTTTTACCAGGAAAGTCTTACAGACCTGGGGAGAATATGCAAACTCCACATAGAAACGTCTGGAGGTGGAATCGAACCCGGGACCTTTTTGCCGTCCAAGAGTATTATAAAATAAGATACTAATCAGTACTAAGAAAATGACAGAAACTAGAGAAAGTAACAGCACTAACTAACATGGCGGCACAGTGGTTAACACTTGTACTTCAAAGCATGAAGTGATTCATTCCACTTCCAGAGGCCCGTGTGGAGTTTGCATGGTCTCCCTGTGTAGGTTTACTCCAGGTCCTCCGGTTTTCCCCATCACTAAAAAACATGCAGATTAGGTCTAGCTAGAAGTTATTCTAGCTCTGCCCCTGCTAAATGCTCCAATTTCTGGACCAAAAACAATTGATACGAGCAGCTTTCTTCTTAAAACACTAGTATCAGTAATTAGCTTTGGCCTTTTCTTCAGTCAAGACATTCTTTACATTTAGCCGTTAGGGTTAGTCAGTTTGATAAAAGCGCAATGGATTTCAAAAAGAACACTTTATAATTTCAGTCATTAAACGAAAGTGTTAGCCCATTCTTGTCATCTATTACTCTATTAGTTATTGTCTCATTTCATGAAATATCAAGATTTAGGGGGAAAAATTAACACAAATAATAATAAAAACTATCTAGAGTGAATATGGATTAAGCCACTTTATGAATTGTCATTTGTGTATAATTTAGCACAAACGTTATGCATGATTGGGGTGGGATTCTATATAACAGTCTATCATAGTCTATATAACAAGTCTGTATCAGTCCGTGTCACAGTATGTATTAAACACAAATATGTAAACTGATGCTTTACATTGTTTGGTTAGTTTGTTCACACTTTTCCATACCGTGACAGACTTAAAGCCTAATCTTTCGTTCTACTTTAAAATCTGAAGTAGCTTTGTATTTTTGTCTGTAGCCTCACCCTGACCTGATTCCCTCTCTCCTCCTCACACCAGAGCTTACCTGGAGGTAGAGATGACCCTGTCCCAGGACCAGATCAGTAAATACGCAGACAAAATCCTGCTGTACACCAACACCTGCATGAAGGAGCTGCGCCGCCTGTTCCTTGTGCAGGACCTCATCGACTCGATCAAGGTGAGTCTCAGTCTCGCTCCTCTCTGTGGAAGCAGTTGGCCTCGATTCAAACCGTTTCTCTTGTTTCAGTTTGCCGTGCTGATGTGGCTTCTCACCTATGTGGGGGCCCTCTTCAATGGACTCACACTGCTCATCCTCGGTGAGGTTTTATACACGAGTTTTTGATCATTTATCTTTTCTTGGTGGATTTATGGCCATGATGTGTGTGTCTGCAGGGGTGGTGTCCATGTTCACCATGCCTGTGGTCTACGAGAAGCATCAGGTAGGGTCCAGTTACTCTGCTATGCTCTGATTGGTCAGCACAGGTTTTCATTTCACCCTCTTGTTGCAGGCGCAGATCGACCAGTATGTGGGATTGATACGAACACAGGTCAATGGCGTGATGGGAAAGTGAGTTTTTAGTTTTCATATATATGAAAGCACACATCCAATGCCAATACTACCAACCTATATAGAAAAGTATAAAGCTGTTAATGCTGTATGTAGGAATGTTCCTTAGTATGCATTTGACCTTCATTTTATATTATCTACCACTTTCAAAAAAGATGCATTTTCTTTAAAGCTTGAAAAAATAACTTTGGAATAAAAGCACTTTTTATAATGTAATATTTGCTTCTGCATTTCTCATTTCACAGCAGTGTAAGTAACTTTGCCTTTCTCATAAACGAGCAAAAATCAGTTACATTTCTGCATTTTGGAATTATCATTGCTGCACCTGTATTTGTGTCACCAGCTCATTTTCTGCTGTGTGAGATCAATAAAGTATCTTTTGGGAAAGTCGAGGTTAGGTAGATATCCAAGCTTCCAAAAATCGAGATAAAACCGCATCACTTCTCCTATAGTATGTCATTGCATTGAACTATGACAACTGGAGCAGTTTTCCCATCACTTCACCCGTTAATGTTTTGGCAATTTCAGCAATTTTCAATTTTGTACCCCATCTTCTGGTGGGAATTACAGGCAGAACACTTCAGTTTCATTAGATATTTTTAACTTTTTGATATTCCTTTATTCGTCCCACAATGACACAGTAAAATGAAAATAGCCAAAGTATTAGTAATAATACATAATATTTCCTCTTTAAATTCTCATGTTTTTCTGTGTTTAGAATCCAAGCAAAGATTCCTGGGGCCAAGAGGAAGGAGGAGTAGAGCCGGATCAGAGAAGTCTTCTCTGCGTTTAATTCACTGGACTTCACCTGACAAATAGCGGCTCCATTCGAAACACAATCACAACCACATCGACTTGAGGATAAAGATAACATTTGTGTTGCTTAATATGACGTGCATGAAGTCAAGCCTTGGATAAAAATGGATCTTTTGTGCTAGTTTCTTTTCATGCTGTATTTATGCTTTGCAGTGCTATCACAGGACGGGAATGTTAGCCTCATGCCCACACACACTGACGCAAACGGAGGAGCTAAATGTCCACATGACACACCTTTCCATTTGTTGTTGCCATTCACACAACTCAACAATAAGCGTCTTGAAGATGTGGTAACTGTAAGATTTGATTTTTGTACAGTATATTCATAAGCAACAATACAATGTTTTAGGTACTGTTGTGCTACTATGACGACAAGGAGTATCTGGTGATATTTGGCTTGTTTGACTTAATGTCCAACTTTGTACTAGTAACTATACTCTGTAGTTCTTTCAGACCCTGGACTCTTAACTATTTGCACTTACAGTATGTAATTACAAGAAAATAAATGTTCCTAGATGTAGTCCACCTGTTGTTTTGATACCTCTTCTCCAAGTAGAAAAAAAATGAAAACATGGGGTAATTATTGCTTGAATTGAGTGGTTTGAGATTTTGACACCGACAAGATTTGCCAATGGGTCAAAGCCATTTAGTCTCATTTCAAGAACTGTTGCTCTATTTTCTCAGACATTTCTTGTATCATTTTAAAACAAGGTAATTTTTCTGGACCCAGTGGCAAAGGTTTTAAGGCAGTCAAAATGTGCTCATGTTTAAATACATTTTGCTAAATTTTAGCTTTTTTTTGGGACTTTTTAAATCCCTTTGTGTAGTGCAGTGATTGGTGTTTAAAAAGATGACACAGAAACAAAGATCAGAGAACTTTCATTAACTGCTCAACACAACTCAAAACCAGCATCCTCTCATTAACTTAAAAGTAACATGAGTATATGTAAAACAAAACTATACACGTTCAAACCGTAATCTAGAGGAAAGCCTTTCACGAGTTGAGCAAAGTGACTGGGTGAAGCCTGAACAAGACTCCTTTGTGCCTCTTAGCCCCTGGCTGGACAATATCCATTTTGAGAGATGGATCCACCTGGAAGAACCGGAAGAACCATAAGAACAGTCAGTGTCAGCAGCATCTTGAAGTGTAGCTCACTGTCTCTGAATTGATCAGACCTGGTTCCACTGCTCCTTCTGGCTGTAGAAAATCGGAGGAGTTACCTCTCGACTCGGGCATTTGCTAAACAGTCTGTAACATAAGATAAGAGAACCTTGATTCGTCCCACAGTGGGAAAATTTCAATGTTGCAGCACACATACAGGACCTTGAAGAAGCAATATGTAAACTGTACATGTCAAGGAATGACTCAGGTGGTGTTAAAGGAGCTATACTACTACTACTATACCAGTTTCTGCAAGGTTTGAATGTTTGGCACCACCCCTCAACTCACAGACTTCTCATTTCCCCTACGCTCTCATTTCACAGAGCCATCTAGTTTTATTTGCGATCTATATGCAAACGTTTGCATGAGCATAACTTCTTGTAAGCTGTACAACAATCACTGAAGAAATGGTACAAAAGCAACGCACTGCTAACTGCGATACTTTCTCCCGCGATCCAATTATCGATATGCATTTGCCGAGTATCGATATCAATTTTGTAAAAAAAAATTAATTGGTATCAATACATAATATATGGGTACATTACGCATCTCCATTCTATTTATCATGAAATAAAGAGTATTTTTTATTTTATTTATGCCATAAATTGGCATATTGTATATTTATGACCAATATATCAATAATCGTCATATCGTGATAAAATCGTTATCGTGATATCGTTATCGTGATATCGTTATCGTGATATTGTTATCGTGAGCTTTGTATCGTATCGTATCGTGAGGTACCCTTAGGTTCCCACCCCTACTGCTAACACAATATAGAACTGAAAGATTACAGCTAGTTCCGCGTCTGAATGTAGTCTGAGCATAGATAGTCCAAGGCGGCCCCGCAGGTCTCTCCAGAGGACACAATGTAAGCTAGCTATGTTCAGCCGGGCTTGATTTCTTCTTTGATCATTTTTTTGCTTTAGTTCCCTCTTCTCTTCCTCATTGTTGTGTCGTTCGCTGTGTCTGCAGTTACAGCATACACAGCAGGAGGAGTTATGTGTTACAGCAAGAGGAGTTATAGCCACTTTCTGCTAACATGCTACTGTGTTTAGCAGCGCTGTAGAGGCTAGAGGACGCAGCCTCGTTCTGAGAGTGGAGGAGAGCAGGCATCACGCTGAAGTCTCTACTCAGCACTTTTTAAGGCCTAAATTCATACACAAGCTGAATCAACGAGCTCAAGTTTTCAATTAAATTACGGATTATAATACAACTTGTATGTAGTAATAAGCATTTTTATAAACTCGGAAAAAAAAAAAAAAAAAAAATCGGGTTTAGCTTCTTTCAGAGGTGGGACCAAGTCATTGTTTTACAAGTCACAAGTTAGTCTCAAGTCTTTGCCTTCAAGTCCGAGTCAAGTCCAAAGTCAAGACCGACAAGTTAAGTCGAGTCCCAAGTCCTATCGTTTGAGTTGAGTCCTTTTAACAACATCTATTTAAACATAAATAATATTTAAAGAATATAAATTAATATTAAAAAACAATGTTCAAACACTCATTTGACTCAACCATGTCACCACTGTCTCCTCCTCACACAGAAGACGCGAATGTCCATCTCTCCGTACACTGGGCTCATTCCCGTTACTTTCTTCGTCTCTAACTCACTCAGATTTAAACACTGCTAAAGTAATCAGACAGCTCGTTCTCTCTGAAGGACCCCGCTGCACACATAGCCGCCCTCGTGCCTGCCTGTTACTACTTTTTAATCTTTGGGTTCGAGGAAAGAAGCAAGTCTTTTGAAGTCAAATGGGTCAAGTCCAAGTAAAATCACGAGTCACTGATGTTAAAGTCCAAGTCGAGTTGCAAGTCTTAAGATCTTGTCAAGTCGAGTCTAAAGTCATCAAATTGATGACTCGAGTTCAAGTCATGTGACTCGAGTCCACAACTCTGGCATCTTTAAGAGCACTAAAGAACTTCAGGTTTCTAAGTTTAGACCTGATCAGTCGCTCTCTGCAGTCGTCCTGGAGCTGGGCCATCCTGTCTGGACCGAGGTGAAGAGTTCCACATGGTCCCTCGCACACCAGCCGGTTCACTGCTAGCCTGAGCGCATTTATCTGAGAAGGAAAACGTCCATTCTTTAGCACAGGCATGTCAAACTCTACCTATTCAAACTCAAACCTATTCTACATTTTTAACCAAACACATTATAAAACCTTTATTCTGCAGCTGCAGTGTTCTGTTCTCCAAACAGAACACTAGAAAAAAAACAAAAGCAGAACTCGCCTCAGTGATATCTTCCACATCAAACTTGACATCAAAGGCCAGCTCAATGTCGTGGTCCGGAAGAACGGCGTCTTGTGTGTCACTGTTCCAGCCCAGGCCGCACAGAGCCCCAGTGTATGCCGTGCGCTCCTCATTTGTCCTGAAACAAACCTGCATTTTGAACTGTTGGATTCTCTGATCTGTGTTGGTGAACTTGAGACAATTGCGCTTGTGATTTAGGGCGATACAAAAATGAATTGAATTAAACTTACCGAAGCTCCATGATCGGAGTGAAGAGCATTGTGATGAGCGCTGGCAGACCAGGGATGTCCGGCATCAAGGTGGTTTCTCGCAGAAGAATACGGGTTCCTACAAAGAGGGTATAGTAAACAGCTTGTGCTAATGCTAATCCGTCTGATGGTGTTGAACTAATACCAGTGGAGTTGACAGAAACTTTTCCAGCCGCCAACATCCTCTGGTGTTTGTAATGAGGAGTGTCATTTATGGTCAAAGAGTTTATACTGTCTCTCTCAACGACAACGGTCCTGAACAAGAAGACATTAGATGCAAAGATTAGATGAGACCTAAGTAAAGTTTCCATGTGGCCCTCAGAGCTTTTACCATTTGTACACTGTGCACCATCTTCCTCTATCTAAAGTAACGGGAATCAATACTAGGAATGCACCGATGCATCGGCTGAACATCAGTATCGGCAAATGTTTGCCTTGTTAACTACCATCGGCAAAAAAAAGACATTCGCTGATGGTAGACGCGTACAAAGATACCGGGATATTTTAAAAAAATGTCTGAAATGTCAGCCTTTCAGCATGGGACATTTTTTATAAAATAAATGCACTAAGAAACAGTGAGTTCTGATGGATCACTGTGGTAATAGCAGCACAACACTTTTCTGCTCACACACACACACACTCATCAGTATGAGCAGGTGAATGTGTGCGTCCATCTCTCCCTCTCCATACAGCGCATCACTCTTTTCTCCTTTATGACTCACTCGGATTTAAACGCTTAAGTTATTTGACAGCTCTGTAAAGTCTCTAGAGGACCCTGCTGCGCACATAGCTGCCCTCGCACCTGCCTTTTCGCAAATCATTTTGGGTGAAAATGTTACATATACATGTTACAATGATGCACTTTTGAACAGAAAAATCAGAAATCCATTTACAGCTGGAGAATTCTGAATTCCGCCAATAGACGGAAAATTCTCATTCTTGAATATGTATAAAAATAACCAAAAGCAAAAACCAATCGGCCAAAAAACAGCCATTGACCAAGTTGTGAAGTTTAAACATCGTATTGGCCCAAAATTTCACAATCGGTGCATCCAATACCCAACAAATGTTTGCAACTTCATGATTGCCATGGCATGTTCTACCTCATAATATTTCTTCAAAAACAAATACTTAGCCTACTTTCATTCGCTTCAGTCCAGCTTTAGTTCAATCCACGCAAAATCTAAAGACAACTAAAAATAAAAACCATATTAATGTGGCCCCCCGGAGAAAAAATTATTGCCCACCCTTGGATTAGACACATGGTAAATGCAGATGAACCAGATCGACAGCTGAGGTCTAGTCTTACATCTGGACGGTCAGGAAGTCAGTGTTGAGTGGATGAAACTGGAGCAAACGCTAAAAGACCAGTTTCTTCAGGAGGTGGCGAGGTGAATGACAGAATGTTGTTGTGTGACATTTACTAATTCCAAATTGTATTTGAAATTGAGGAATATCCGACGTTTTAGATTAAAACACACAGTCTATTGAACTGGAGATAGATTTTCAAAGATAACAGGGTGATATAAAGGCATCGACAGGCATGGTTTTTGTAACCTTTGTGCAGGTAATCATGTTGGTGATGAGTCTCATTTAAGAACTATGTATACTCGCGCGCCGCTGTGCTTGCGGGGGCCCCACCAAGGATCAACCCAAGACCCTTGCTCTCCAACCCATGCACTGTGTGATTTTTCTAACTATGCAATGGGCTGCGCAGAGGTCTGTTGTGATTACCGTGTGTGATTACGTTTTGGTTGGAAGCATGGAGCAGCTGCGGGGAACATAGACAAGGACGTTTGGAGCAGATTGCTTTGGTGCTTCGAAGAAACTAAACGAAAAGCAGTTTGGCTCATGGCTCACAAGCCTGATATACAGTGGGGTAAAAAAGTATTTGGTCAGTATTACGAGCCACTAGGTGTTGAAGTCTAGAGAGTGTGACTCAGTAACACAAAAAGAACCGGGGGGTGGAACATAGACAGGAAACGGGGTCTAAAAAGTAACAAGGTTTATTTACATATAAATAAATGCACAAAAAGGTCACACGGGTGTGCAGCCGCAGGATCCAGGCCCAAGTGGAAGAGAGAGACTGGTCTGGAGCCAGGCTCTTTTTATGCCTCCCAGGTGATTAGCCCACAGGTGCATAGTGAGACGTCAGTGGGAGGGAGGTCTGAGGAGGCGGAGGCAAGGAGAAACAAAAACAAGGACCTGGTCCGTAACAGTCAGCCACCGATTGTGCAAGTTCTCCCACTTAAAATAATGACACAGGTCTGTAATTTTAGTCATAGGTACTGTGAGAGACAGAATGTGAAAAAAAATCCAGGGATTCACATTGTAGGATTTTTTAAGAATTTATTTGTAAATTATGGTGGAAAATAACTATTTGGTCACTTCAAACAGGAAGATCTCTGGCTCTCACAGACCTGTAACTTCTTTAAGAAGCTCTTCTGTCCTCCACTCGTTACTGTATTAATGGCACCTGTTTGAAATGGTTATCTGTATAAAAGACACCTGTCCACAGCCTCAAACAGTCAGACTCCAAACTCCACTATGGCCAAGACCAAAGAGCTGTCGAAGGACACCAGGAAAATAATTGGAGACCTGCACCAGACTGGAAAGAGTGAATCTACAATAGGCAAGCAGCTTGGTGTGAACAAATCAACTGTGGGAGCAATTATCAGAAAATGGAAGACATACAAGACCACTGATAATCTCCCTCGATCTGGGGCTCCACGCAAGATCTCATCCCGTGGGGTCAAAAAGATCATTAGAACGGTGATCAAAAATCCCAGAACCACACGGGGGGACCTGGTGAATGACCTGCAGAGAGCTGGGACCAAAGTAACAAAGGTTTCCATCAGTAACACACTACGACGACATGGAATCAAATCCTGCAGTGCCAGACGTGTCCCCCTGCTGAAGCCAGTGCATGTCCAGGCCCGTCTGCTGTATCATCCATGTGCTCTCTGGCAAACTTCAGAGGATCGGGAGAATGTCATGTGGTCAGATGAAACCAAAGTAGAACTTTTTGGTATAAACTCAACTTGTCGTGTTTGGAAGAAGAATCCTGAGTTGCATCCCAAGAACACCATACCTACTGTGGAGCATGGGGGTGGAAACGTCATGCTTTGGGGCTGTTTTTTTGCTAAGGGGACAGGACGACTGAGCCATGTTAAGGAAAGAATGAATGGGGCCATGTATCGTGAGATTGCGCCAAAACCTCCTTCCATTGACTTGAATTTGTGTTATTGACCAAATATTTATTTTCCACCATAATTTACGAATAAATTCTTGAAAAATCGTACAATGTGAATTCCTGGATATTTTATTCACATTCTGTCTCTCACAGTTGAAGCCTACCTATGATGAAAATTACAGACCTCTGTCATTATTTGAAGTGGGAGAACTTGCACAATCGGTGGCTGACTAAATACTTTTTTGCCCCACTGTATGAGGACTAGAGTTTTGGTTTGCTTATCGACCTCTTTTCACCACAGCGTTTCCACTGAGTCATTGCTATTCAAACTGTTCATGGTGTACATGTAAACAAGGAAAGAAACCACGAGAGTGATGTGGATGCGTTTCTCTCTTGCAGGAGTTTCTTACAATGAGGAAAACAGCGCAAAGTTCCCCCATCTGACAGTGCAAGCAAAACCAAGAAATCGCTCAATCCATGTACATGAAACACAAAAATATCATGAAATATACAACTATTAATACCCTTTTAAACCTTAATTATTATCTTGTTTTTAATGTTCTGTATTTTTATTGTATAACTAGTACATACGCAGCATTGAAAATAGAATGTGTTTTAAGTGAAAACTAACTAAAATAAAATGCATTCTGAAAATGGAGAAATAACTTCAGTTTTAAACTTTTTACCATCTCAGAATAAAAAATATAATTAAAGCCAAAAGCAGCGTCGAACGGCCCTCCCTGCACCAGGCATCTTCCTACTGCTTTGATTGGAGCGACACTGTATTTTGAATGCATATGATCAGTTATTGTGTCTATTGAAAAAGTAAACCTCATTCTCCCCATGTAATACTTTACTCTGTCCACAGAGGGTGCTAATGCTGCAATTTCATGTTTTACACTTTCAGTTTACCCAAACCTGAGAGTTGAACAATCATTTCAAATTTGTTGCAAATCGGACTTTGCAAATGTATAGTCTTATACCAAAGACTAGCCAAAATACATTTGATTCCAGAACAAAACTTGTGGCAAGGCTGGTTTGTCGTCGCCACGGCAACAGCATAAAAAATAAGTCATTGACTTTTTGAATCAAGAGGGCAAAACAGAATTATGTGCAACATTTCAAACATTTTTAATAAACTAAATGTGATTATCCCAATGTAAAACTTTGACAAAGTCTATAGGGGGCGCTAATGGGCCAATTTCAATTATATTTTATCGGATTTTGTATGTGCAAACGGGAGAAAATTTTCTATTGTAAAAAATGGGGATGGTATATGTGTTTAGACTATGTGGAACGATATTGAGGGAAATCGGTGAAACAGCCGGAGGATTTGATGTGTGTGAAAAGGATAATTTTTCATTTTTCCATTTTGCAAACAAATGTATGGGCTTCCGGTTTGTCAGGGGGCATGGCCATAATAAAAAAAATTCAGGTCTTGACTTGAGGAACATGTGTACCGAATTTTGTGGCTCTACGACAAACTTTACCTCGGACCCTCTTCCATAGGCACATGTAAATTTTTCGCCAGATCTGAATTTTGGGCAAAATTAAGGTTCGAAGTGCAAACGAGTCTCCAAGCAAAAACAATACAGGTTTCAATGGCACCTGATACATCATTTAAAAGCATTTGAGTTTACGTACGCAACCCTCACGTTCTGGTGACGCACCACGACCCCTTGCATTCACCATTGTGAAAGCAATAGGCCCTTACCCCAGTCGGGGCTCGGGCCTAAATAAATAAGCAAAAACAATACAGGCTTCCATAGTAACCTGAGCGGACGAAGCAGGAGTGAAGCCGCATTCAGACCAGATCATGCGTTGCGTCTGCTTTCAATGCAAAGTTAATGGTGACGCGCGTTCGAGCGTCAAAATACATGTGCGTCCTGAACGCACGCACGGACTGCGCAGGAAAGTCGAAGGGGAGGAGCAGGAGTGGAAAGAGGACACACGCAGGAGACACTTTGCTGAACGTTTCCTTGGACGTTCGTGCAGATCAGAGAGCCGCAAAGTGGTCACAAGGACATTAGCGGTCTGAGCGAGCAGACTGAACATACTGTAC